GTTGTTTTCCCTGTGGAAGGTGCTTGGGGTAGGCGGTGGAGTATACGTATGATTGGTTGGATAGGAGAGGTTGGGGAAAATAGTTTTGTTTTGGAGGTTGGAAATATGTAGGAGAATTAGGTGAGGAGGAAGGGGGTTAGGGCGAGGAGGGTGGGGATGCTGAAGGTGGAGGGGAGGCAGGAGGTGGAGGTGGAGGTCAGGTGGTGTCAGAGTCGGAGTCGGGGGGGCATTCTTGTTCTGGTGGTGACGGTCGGGAGGATGAAATAGAAGGTAGATTTGCGTTGAAAAGTTTTGGTTGTTGTTTAAGGGTATGTTTAATCGCCTGCTGCGGCACTCTCGGATTTGGCTTTCGGATTCGGTGGACCAGGCAGGCAGGCCTTGTTTGTTCGATCGTCGTGGCCTTGGTGATAATCAATCAACCAATCCGTCTATCCCAATTATCCGCTCGTGATCGTGTGTCGTGTTTGCACTTGCGACTACCTCTGCGCTGCTACTACTCCTGGTGCTCGGGCTGGCGGCGCTGGTGGTAGTGGTGGTTTGCGACAAGACACAAATGACCAGAGCATTATACCATATCCCTTTCTACTTCCGAAATTTATGTGTCAACTCAAACCCTTGCTGGTGTGTCGTTGGGCAAAAAAAAAAAAAAAAAAAAAAAGGATCGGAATTCTGGTACACACTCCTTGTACGTAAAAGCTGAAGCTCGTTTGTGTCGTCGTCGGCGGAACGTTTGCACAGGAACGAAAAGCGATGGGCATGACGAACGAGAATGGGCGCGTCTAGCTCAATGGCCGGCTGGGGACCCCGGATTTTTCTGTAAGGGAGCTTGGACCATTCCCCGCCATCCACCTATCCATCAGCCTCACTGCTCTTGGCTGCCTTTCAAACGTGAGACTTGCCCGATGCGTAAAGACACGTGGACGTTCTCAAACAGAAACAACAACCAAGAGAGAGAAAAGATGAATAGCTATTATATATACACCAGGACCTAGAGGATCGCTGGAGTTCTGCCAGCCCATTGATAGTAATATACAAGTTACGGATACAGTTAAAGCGCTTCTCTCTTCCTGCTTTGGACATCCCATCCATCAAGCACCCACCCCTTCTCGCCAATATCTCACTGTGTACTTTCTATAACGCATCTCAACTCCCCAACTTCCCTCCACTCATCTCGTGTAAAAGTGCCAAAGCCTTAGGTAGAGCAAATTTCCGCTACTGTCATGTTTTGTTGGAGCCCAATCCAGACCTGAAGTTTTGATTCGAAAGAGAAGAAAAACAGCCTCTCCCGTTTCCTTATTCAGTTTCAATTGCGCCCCAACACCTTGCCGTGTGATAAAAGCCAAAATCCACCCAAAAAGAGAGAAAGAAAAACGAGCGAAATCAATATCATCCACTGGTCCTATCCTGGGACTCATCGTCGTCGTCTTCTTCATCCACCTTTGTAGACTTCAATAAAGCCGCAGCCTCGCCTACTTCCATATCGTGTAGTCGTTTCTTCTGCTCCTGTTCCTTGATGATTTCTGTCTGCTTTCGCGCCCCATTCAAGTGCGGCGGTGACGAGACAGCCTCCACCTCGAAGTCGTCGTCATCGTCCCCGCTATCATCATTGTTATCGTCGTCCTCATTGTCGTCGTTGTCACTTTCGTTGGCCGGTGCTGCTGGGCTTGGTGAAACCGACGCAGTTCCGACAGACGAAGGGGTGGCTAGCGCCGACGGGGATGATCGGCGAGAGTTGGACCCCTTGGGGTTGTACGGCTTTATCGTGGGGTCGAACCTGGCCGGCAGGCCAATGGCTGCTGCCACCCGGTGGGCTTCCTCGTCGGCCGAGATGGCCTTCTCCAGCTCGTAGATACTGCTCGTCTCGCTATCCGCCTCGTGTTTTCCAGAGTTATAAGCCAGCATCTGCGCATAGCTCTGTCGACTCGGGTCGTGGGACCGCTTCTCCTTCTTCTTGGCTCGTTTTTCGTCGGGCCTAACCACCACAACCGGAATAGGGATGTACTGAAGGCAGTATTTGGAGAAAGAGTTGCGCGTATTGACCAGACCCTGAATACCACCCATCGAGCGGCCCTTGGTGCCAACCACCAACATGGAGGGGTTGTACATGCTAAGCTGGGGGGGGTTTAGGTTAGCATTCGTACCCGCACCGTGGGAAGAAAAACATGTATACGTACTAGCTGCTGGAAAGTGTCGTGGAGCTTGCCTACAGCATATTCGAGGACCAGTTTGATGGCCCTGTTGTGTTCGTTCTTTTCCTGAATGGATTGGAGTAGCTTTTCCGCGTCCTCCTTGTAGTTCTTGTCGACCCGAAAGGGGGTTTCCACCACCCTCACACAGATCACCTCATCGCCGTCGTCCACCATGTTGGTGAGCAACCAGACCAGCGCATAGTCGGAATAGGAGTGCTCATCAAGGCCAACCATAAAGGTGCGGGACCGGCGTGATGCTTGGTAGCCGTCATGTTTGGCGTGAAGTGTCAATGACGCTGGATTGTTCTTTGTCGCTTCGCCAACCGGAAGGTTGTCAAAACCGACATGCGATCGAAACCTGTGGGGCGCAGGGCTTTCTGTTAGCATCGCCATGAGACGTTGGGTGTCTTCTCAGCCAGACAATTGGTAAGAAAAGTGGCCAGGAAACCAGTTCGGAGTAAGAATGATAATGGTGCAACGGGGGTCAACTAAAAGGGCAGATAGGTGCAGGGATGACGGAGGCAACATATATCGTCGAATAAGGCCACTGGGCTTCTAGGAGGCTCGACAGGAACAAGCTTAGTACCGTTAAGTATCTGGAGGGCCGGGGAGGGGAGAATGACGCAGGGAAAACGTGACGCATGTACATCACAGCCACAGCCCAGAAAAACACATGCGCAAAAAGTGAGAAGAGAGAGAATGGCAGACCCCTCACTTGACACGCTGCTCGGCTAACGGGATCTGGGCTGGAGGCATGACATCTGTCGAGCGAGCCCGCCGTCTAGCGAGTGATTTGGTGGGGTGGCGGGGTTCTAGTGGTTGACTTTGGGGTGGGCTTCATCCATCGGCGCCTTTTTTTTCCATGATAGTCTGCTGAGCGATGATGCGAGCCAAGTATCCCCAAGAAAATTGCGCCCGCGGCTTGCTGCTGGTATAACCTCCCGTTTGTCCTGCCACCACGCACCGAACCAGCTCGCCAGCATCATCATGATCATCGTATTCTTCTCTCCTTGTGCCACGCGATATCCTCCAGACGACGTTTGGTAATGGGATCAGAGGTTCACACACAGCTCCAAGGCCGGGGGATATGCAATCATCCGGAAACAAGAGCTATCCCCGTCCAAAAAAAGGACCACTTGGACCCGTGTGCACAAGCACAGGTTGCGCGTGTACCTCGACTCAGCCGAACGGGATCGATCTGCACCACACCGGAATGGGGGTCGGAAGGGGTCAGGTACACATGCAGGTAGGGTCAGACTTACTTCACAGGTTCGGGCGACGCCTCCCGGAGTCTCGTTTTTATATCCGTTTTCCGGTGCGCGCCTTGCGGGAGGCTTGGATTTCGAGGAGGGCGGAATGTGACAGAGGCCGTCGAGGATTTTCTAGATGCGACGCCCGGCCGGTTGCTGCTAGCATTCGAGGCTTGTCGCAAATCATCCACACCGTCCTCTGCCGAGTTGGACGACGACGTAAAGGTGTTGGTACTAGCGCCCGATGACGCCGTCGCCAGTGGTGGGAACGGTATGGTTGCGCCGGGCGATGTCTGAGGAGACTGCGGGGGGCTTATGTTGGCGGCGAAATAGTCGGTGGGAGCTTTAGAGGTGGTGGTAGTGGTTGTGGTTGTGCGCGGCGAGACATCCGAGTCGGGGCTCTTCGCCGCCTTGGAGGAGGAGATCAATCCGGCAACATTTTTTTTGAATGTTTTACCGGCCATCGTAGGTCGGATATGTGCGTATGGGAGAGTCTGGGTAGACGGGTGCTATGCCAGTGCTTGAGCGGCCTCACGGAGAGGCCAGCAGAGGCTATCCAACAACAACAACTTGCATAGAGCTGTTGGAAAACTCGGTTGGTGAGATGTTCCCACTTGGACTGGTGCTGCTGACGGCACCAGGCAAGCAACGGGAACTTGCTTCCAGGAGGTGGTGAAGAAGGTGCTTGCTCGGTGAGCTTCGTCGCAAACGGCGTCGAGTTGATTTGTTGTGATTTTAAGCTGTGGCTACTGGGTCTCGTCCCGGCAAAGGTTTTGACAACGGATGTGTGTTATGCTGAACTTGTTGATGGATGAGAATATGAACAATTTGAATGTATGTCGATGTTGCCTGTTGGAGGGGGGAAAGCTCTCTCTCAGATGGTTCGCAAACGGAAACTGCACTGGTTCAAGCAGAGCTGGGTGGTCGAGCAGGTGGGGCACTCGAGGGTACTTTGAGGAGTCTTGGTCGTTGTGCTTCTCTTGTCACGCAGCCAAACGATACTCTCTCGGTACCGTGATGCAATGTATGCAACGGTTTTATATGGAGCAGTAAAAGGAGATGGCACGAGGCGGGCGAGGTTTGGGAAGGAAGAAAGGGAAAGTCAGAAGAGGCCAAGCTGTGGATGGCACCCTAGTGGTTAGATATCTGATCCCGTCTTAAGAGCGTGAGAGCCAGACAGAGCCGGACCCCAAGTCACCACCGCTTCCATTTTTTTCTTTTGTCTTGGCGGGTGGGCTGTTTCCTGGCTGTCCAATCTGGCAAGGGTATGAAGGGTCCAGGAAGTGCCAGGGAAGGGAAGTCGGTACGGCATGGAGAGGCAAGACCGTTAATCTTGCTAGCGGCCTTGCGTTGTCCATCATGGTGCAGCTTTGGTGCAGCTTTGATGAATCTGGATCACCAGACGGCTATTCGGCCACCCTGTCCCTAGCCAAGCTGGTCTAGCACTGTCCCGGTAGCGTCGAGACTGCCACGGCCTGGACCTGGACCTTGACGCGGGGCACTGCGAGTGACGCACATCCGCCAGTCTGAATAGCAGCGGCCAGTCCCGAGAGCCGATCACTGACCTCCAATTCTGTCATCCAACTCTCTCCCAAGAAGCTTCGGACAACGGGCAACCTGGAACACCTCGAGTCCTGTAACACATCCGCACCTGTTGTGCGGCGAAACACAACAGGACCAAGCTTTCTCGACCGGCCAGGCGATAGAGCCTTGGCAGCCCGTAGCTCAGGTCTGGCACAACACGTCGTCGTCTTTGCCTCTTGTCTCTTGTTGCTCGTCTCACTGGTCTCGTCTCGGGTGGGTGAACAACGAAGGATCCCATTCGGTGACCACTCCTGGGAGCTCCCGGTCTCAATAAAACGCACCTTTACAGGTCACTTGAGCCCTTGACATCCCGGGGTAGATGTGGTATGTAGAGATGGATCTAGCATCTGCCCAATACCACCTGGTACTGCTCCCGTTGAACTCCCATCTCCCGCTACTCTGCCGCCGACACTATTACTACCGCCACGCTGGACTACCGACCGCTGCCGCGCCCACCACCACCACCAACAGCCACTGCCATCAACATCATCACCATCGTCGGCAAGCTGCCTTGCTCGGATGTGCCCTTACACCATCCACCACCCGCCCTACCCCCGCTACAGATTGGCCTTGCAGAAACAAGACGGCAGCAACGGCAGATGACCCCACCACTGATGGCAGCGGGTGGTCCTTGGGTTGTCTTGGGAAGTCTTGGAACGAAGGTCCAGCTTCTGCCGCCAAGGTGCTAATCAGTGGGGCTGCCGTCAGCGAGGTCTTGTGAGGGCAAGCCACCGTCCCCCGGAACCGTCCCCGTAGGTTTACCGGTAGGTCACTTCCCTTCTCTACAGATACAGGAGAGGGGGGCATTGGAAAGCGGTCAGTGAACTACCTGATGATGGAGCAACAGCTACCTATCCACTTGCTACCGCCACAAGCAGAAGGTGAGACTGCCCGTGCCTGTACATACGGAGGGCGGGAGGTTTCCGTGATCTCTTCAGGGTCTCTTTTGCCAAGTGTCTTGTCTCGGACACAGGGCTGGCTGGGAGGAGAGAGAGAGAGAGGCAAGACATTTGTTACTTGATCGGTATGCAAAAGCCCCGATATCAAACAACCACCCGGCACCTTTTACATACACCGTCTGTGTACCTCTCGCTCTCTCTCCGTCAATTCCATTCCGGGATATGAGCTCATCTATTATCGCGTTGCTGTCGGAATATCCGGAGGGGGGTCCGCCCGCCCTTCTTCGTATGTGTATTGGAAATCAAAACATTGTCCACCCATCCATCCAGCATGTGCTACCGACGAAGAATAAGGTCGGTCCAACAAGGAAACGCACAAGAGATTCATGACGATGCTTGGGGCTTCGGCACGGTGGTGGGCTGGGCTTTTGCGGGACAAGACTCGAAAACCGACTTGGCAAAATGAGACGTACACTACGCTACACTATCAAGCAACAAAGTTGAGGTTTAGATAGAGTGATCTCCAAGGCTTGCTTGAACCTATAAGGGTGGGAGAGCCTCCTTGGGCGTGCGGCTTGCATATGCATGCCTCTTTCTCACACACACACATTCACATTTACAATTCAATCTTGTCACGACATACAACTTGGGGGGAAATGGGAAGGAGATAGCCCGAACGGCCGACAACATCCGAAGATGGAAAAAAACGTGTTGTTGTACAAAGCTAGAGCTTATTACAGGACTCCTCTATCCACCGCGTCGTCGGCGGCGGAGGCGGCGGGGTAGCATGGAGGGGAGGGGAGGGGTGTGAAGTGAGTTGTGTGGTTCCAGATCTCTCTCTGTGGGTTGGTGGTGGTGGCTGGTGCGTGGGTGGGTTTGGGCTTTGCTAGCAAGTGTCCATCCGGAGGCCTCCCTCTCAAAACTCCTCTTTGTGAGAGAGGGACTCCATCACCACACCGCATCATTCTTTGACGAGAAGGGAAAAACGTGGACAATTGTTGCGTTCCACTGCTTGACACCTTTTTTTCTTTAAGGTTTCAGTTTGTCATCTCCGGCTTGGCTCTTTTTTGATGGAGGGAGGGAGGGGGGGAAAAGTCTTTGGGGCAGGGTCTTTGATGGATGAACATGCATGCATGCAAGACTTTGATAGTGGTTTTAGAGCTGGGAAAAGACTTTTTCTTGAGAGTAATAAGAAGAATTGTGTAGAGCATGAGTCACTTACGGCGACATAATTTCTAGACCAGGTCGGTCTTCAGTACCTTATTGGTAGAATGCCTCTTGGGCACCCAATTCATATCTCCCAGCACTACCTGACTTGAGCCTGTGTAAAACACACCTAGGTAGGTACCCAAAGTAACACCAAGCAACCCGTACATTGTGAGAAAATGTCGGTACTTGAATAGACGCCGGCCCAGGTTGATAGGGTTCGACTACTTGTCAAACGCAATGTACAAATGCACATGGTCAATAGAGTAAGTAATGCAAGTTGCTCCACCAAGCCTAGAAAAAAGGAATCTCTTAGATGACTGGCAACTCGGACCACCTCACCACTAGCTGTACAGACCACCCTGCCTACACCCAGCGATCAATTCAATCAATTAGCCAGCCAATCAAACTACCGCAAATATCCAACCAACACAAAATTGACCGTGCGGGCCACTTCTACCTACAGGAGTTTGGCTTCACCTCGGTTTACCTCTAAGCCGATTCCCAGGCCCGATCAAATCCACCATGATTTCTTTTTTTTCCTCATACAAAGCTCTACCTTTGCAATTTCCAGCCTGATTTTCCGCTACTTGGCAAGCCGGAGTGAAGCCGGTAGACGGCAGCTACACCTATATTAGTATGGTAGCCCGCACGGACAATTGCGTGTTGGTTGGGTATTTGCAGTAGACGAATTAGTTAGGCGCACACACTACCGCACTCATTCAATTGCGACTTAGCTGCACTACACTCAATTAAAGTACATGCAAGTGCAATAGGCTTTCCCAGTAGTAAAAAAGGCATTAATACAAACCACTTATTATATACTTATGTGGTGGTGTCGTGCCTTTAATTCGAGAGTGTAGCCTCGGTGGTGAACTTCATGTTCGAAGTCCTAAATTTTGGAAGAAATTTGGAAGTACTGTCAAATTAGGCCTAGTTGGAAAGTAAGCTTTGGCCCATTTTGGGAGGGTGGTCAGGTGACCTAGCTTATAGAATATGTGGGGAGGTGGTTCGAGTTGCCAGTCAGTTAAAAAAGTCCGAAAAAAAGAAGTTCAGATCTCACTTTCAGAGATGTGTACGTACCTTCTAAATACTCCGTTACACAACCTCAATCGGCACGGATTTCGGGCATGGGGGGAACCGCCCTTCCAGCTTACCTTGCGTCAGAGACAAGTTAGGCGCCGCCGGCCTTGTGCATAACTTGCTCTTCTTCTCGACTGGTACGTATCTGGCTTCTGCTCCTGTATGCAGGACCTCGGAGGTGAAAAGTCTTGGATCACCAAAAAGTCCACAGGGATAAGTTGGTACCCAGACATCCTTAGCTCCCCCAAGACTTTTGGGCATCCCTCTTATTAGGCGAGAGCGAGAGAGAGAAAAGAAAAAGAGACTCGTGAATTAAAACTGATCATCTTGTCGGACTATGAGATATGCAGGCGAGCTTGGAATCTGCGCTACCTATACTACCATCCAAAAACAGGTGGGTATAAAACACCTTGCTATGTCTATCCCAAGCAGCTTCCTAAACATATACATGAGCTGGGTAAACAAACAGTGTACCATCCTACACCAGACCCAAAAGCAGCATATAGCTCGTCCCCCTATCCCGAGTACAATTGGTCGAGATCGACATCAAACCGGCCACCCCTGGAGCTACATCAAACACATGTGTGGTCGTCATTGTGCATATCAGTCCCCTACCTGGGAGAGGGGAAGAGGTGAGGGGGAGTTTTCCTTCGGACGGGCCAACACGACAGCATTTCACATGTCACCTCACCCACCTCATCAGGCCATCTCACCAATTGCACGACCACCACAGCATTACGTACCGTACCATACCAGCATCAGCATATCAAACTCCACACCGCCAGTAAGAATCACCTTCACCATATGTTCTATGCATATGGCTCGTACAAAACAACCCAGTCATAATCTTCCTGTCACCAGCTACGTGTGTTACAATCATGATAACAACCATCTTGCTTTCAAATCCACATTGTATTAAAGATCGCTGTCCGAAGCTGGTACCATATAGTAGTAGCACCCTGCTTACTTCCCCAGAAACATACCACACAAGCCGAAAAGCCGCTTATCACCGCTCTCCATTCCTGCCGTGGCTCTTATCTCCAGGGAAACCGGCGATCCTCCAAACTACCTCGGGGTATACTCGGCCGCTGGCCAGTCTTGTCTTCCCTCGACCGGACTTTTCGGAGGCCCCCTTTTTCTTAAATGTTTCCCGCCGTTCCATACCGTCTACCCGCCGCGCGTTGTCATGGTATGTGCTGCATATCGTGCCTCCCTTTCAGGCAAAGAAAAAAAGAAAAAAAGCTTTCCATTTTGACGCCTGATATGCAATGCTGCAAACCACAGAAAAGGTACCTTGCGTGCGTTAATCCACCCCGCCCATCCAGCTCCTTGCTTTTGTCTTTCCGTTACCGTGCCCTACATAAATCCCCGGTGAGATGTACACAGCAGACTGGGTATCAGTATGACCCAATGGAGAAATATCCATTTTGTGTCATTCCCATCTCAGCCGAAACCCCTGGTCCCTGCGGTGTGATATTGCTCCTTCATGCATAAGTGCGCGAGAGGTTGCGGAGATACCAATCAACGAGCTTGCGGCCCATCTTGGCCTCCGAGATATGGATAAGGTCCTGCATGATGAAGTCAGCATATGCCTTGTCTTGAGATGAACAACCAACAATAGATCAAAACTTACACCTTGGAGAGCATAGTCGAGGTCGCTGGTGTTAACCCACTCGCCCTCCAAAAGAGCACCCTCGTTCCACCGGATCTGCTTGTTGCGCTGCTTGTTAACAAACAGGATGGAACGGAGCTCCTCGGGCTTGACGTCGAGAAAACCAGCCAGCTTCTTGAGGTCCATGGTGGTGTAAAGACGGAGGTAAGACTTGATGGTGGGGTTGAACATGTTGGTCTTAACCTCCTCCATGAAGATGGAAAGGTGATGCTCAATGGGGTCGATGTTGCTCTCGGGGGCATCAAAGTTGGGAGGTACGGGAGAGATGAACTTGGGGCACGCAGTGCGGAAGAGCTCCTCGAAGACGGGGAGGGACTCGGGGCCGCCACGCTGGAGCTTCAGGAGCTGCTCGCCATACTTCTCACGGAGGGCTGTGTGGATGGTGTCATCCAGACGAGTGGGCTGGAAGGCAACGCAGATGGCGATGAGAGCGAGCATCTGGTCGCTCTTCTTGTTGATGTTATCGTACTGCGCGTTCTTCTGGAAGTTCTTGGTCCTGGAGACGTAGATCAAGATGTGGCTGAACATGCGGAGAGCGTCGGCGTAGCGGCGCATCATCATGTAAGAGAAACCCACATAGTAGTATGTGGTGAAGTGGGCAGCCATGACACGGGCGAACATGGCCTTCTTGTTGAGCTCAATGTCGTCGAGAGTCTTAAGCGCGAGGCTGAAGTCACCGAGAAGGCAGTGGACCCGGAGGAGGCCAATGATCGAGAAGTAGCCCAACATCTTGTAAAGGGCCTTGGATCCGTAGGGACCGGCGACAAGGGCGGCATCCTCACCGCGCTTGGTAGCCTGGAGCTGTTCCTGGATCTGAGACTTCTGGATCAAGGAGTAGAGAACGTTGAGCACGCTGTAGCAACCCCAGGTGTTTGGGTTCTCCTTGAGAAGCTGAGCCTCCTCCTCGTTGTTTCCCTGCCGCGCGATCCTCGCCCGGTATGTGGAGAATGTGTTGAACTGGTAAATGAATTCATCAATCACATCCCAGGCCCAGTAGTACTACCCTCAGTATCAACGTCAGCTTGTTGGCCCTCAACATGTAATCCACAACCCATTTCGGCTGAGGTATAGTGCAAACTGACCGATGGAGGCTCGAGATCGACGGGGCCTTCCGAATTAAGGATGTAGTGGAACAAGCTGCAGTAGTTGTCGTAGCTTGAGAACTTGGCCTCGAGCGTCGCCTGATAATCCAAGGGCTGAGCGGCCTGGAGTAACCGGGCCTGGAGATCGTCGGCAGCCTGGGCAAGGGCAGCCTGGTCGAGGCCGTCCAAATCGTCGTCCTGTCCGTATTGGACCTGCTCCTGGTAGTCGGCGACGAGGGCCTCCTCCTCAACATCACTATCGTCCTCCATGGCCCGGATAGGGGCCATACCCTGCTGGAAGGCGCTCATGATTTCGAACTCGTGATAGGCAAACTCGGAACTGTAAATCGACGGGTCGGTTTTGCGGGGGGTTCGTCGGGGCGGTGGTAGGGTCGCGGGTGGATGGACTGGTTTGTGGTGGTGGTGGCCGTCAGTCGCAAAAGACCCAGAAATGGTTTGCTGCCGGGGGTGGGGCTCAATTTTTTGTGCTTGAGGGGCTGCCGTTGGACAAAGCGGTGAATTTTGATATGGCAGCTGCAGCGCCGGTTTAGGGTTTGGTGTGTAAGTAAGCAATTAAACAGTACTGGCAGAATTGTTGGTGGCTTTTAGCTGCATAAGCTCCGATTGGTGCATTTTTGTCGATCGCTTTGATGCAACTTTGATGAATCACTTTGAATCAAGCTGCACAGCATGAGCTTCGCCGCAGCGAAGAGTCATCGGTGTAATCTCAGGCCATTTTGACAATTATATAGCTTCCTTACGTCAACAACTTTAGAATGAAGATATCTCGAGCTCACATGTGCTTACAAACAGCTTGCCATTCAGTTCTTGGCCCCACCTGTGACAGACCGATTCTCCCAGTTTTCTGAAGGAGGGCTTGGTTTTGCCCCGCCAAATATTTTGGACCACTTATCTTATCGTCAATCCCACTTCCATCCCAGTTCGACCATCGAGGTGTTGGATTACGACGCATATATCAACCTTCTGTTGTCACCCTTGATAGAAAAGTCTAGAGGTGCTCGTTGTTTATATTCAGAAAATACCAACCCTACCAACTGTACATTTCACACCCACCATCACACACATTCACCATGCCGGTCGTTAGTCCCGAGAAGCTGGCAAAGCTCCAGCAAAACGCCGACGATGTTCGAAATGTATGTCATAGATCACATCTCTCTCACACATGGGTGAACCTCACTGACGCCTCATAACAGATCTGCATTCTCGCGCATGTAGTAAGTTGATAAGTGAATTTTACACATATCAGCATCACCTGGACTGACAAGAGCTAGGATCACGGTAAAACCTCACTTACAGACGCTCTTCTTGCCACAAATGGCATCATTTCACCGAGATTGGCCGGCAAGATCCGCTACCTCGATTCCCGTCCAGACGAACAACTGCGTGGTATCACCATGGAATCATCAGCCATTTCTCTCTATTTCTCCATGCTGAGAAGGTCAAGCCCAGAGGCTACCCCTGAGCCAAAAGAATATCTCATCAATCTCATAGACTCACCCGGGCACATCGATTTCAGCAGTGAGGTCTCGACGGCATCGCGACTATGCGATGGGGCTGTTGTTCTGGTGGACGCAGTAGAGGGTGTATGTAGTCAGACGGTCACAGTACTCAGACAAACGTGGATCGAGAAGTTGAAGCCATTACTCGTCATCAACAAAATCGATCGCCTTATCACCGAGCTCAAGATGACGCCGAACGAAGCCTATATTCACCTCAGCAAACTACTAGAACAAGTCAACGCTGTTCTGGGTAGTTTCTTCCAAGGCGAGAGAATGGAGGAGGATCTGAACTGGAGAGAGAGAATGGAGGAGCGCCGAGCCCAGGCTGTGGCAAACAAGGAGGCCCAATTGGTGGACCAGCAAAGCGATGCCGGCGATTTACAGTTCCAAGAAAAGGACGACGAGGAGATCTATTTTGCCCCTGAAAAGAACAATGTCATCTTTGGCAGTGCCATCGATGGCTGGGCGTTCACAGTACGGCAATTCGCTGGCTTGTATGAGAAAAAGCTCGGCATCAAGCGCAGCCTCCTTGAAAAGGTCCTTTGGGGCAATTTTTACCTCGACCCGAAGACCAGGAAGGTTCTCGGGCCAAAACATCTGAAAGGCAGAAACTTGAAGCCTATCTTTGTTCAATTGGTGCTCGAGACTATATGGGCTGTCTACGGGGCCACCGTGGGTGGTGACCACGGAAAGGGGGATCCAGCTATGCTGGAAAAGATCACAAAGTCTTTGAACATCACCATGCCACCTCATATTCTGCGCTCCCGCGACCCGAAGTTACTTCTTACCACCGTCTTCGCGTCCTGGCTTCCACTCTCGGTGGCACTCCTGGTTTCAGTTGTTGAGTCGCTACCTTCGCCCAGAACCGCCCAAGCCGAACGTCTTCCAGAATTGCTGCAAGAAGTGCCTGGTGCGGACCAAATCGATCCTGCCATCAAGGAAGCCATGGTCTCATTCAAAAAGGAGAAGTCAGACCCCATGGTGGCGTACGTGAGCAAGATGGTGTCAGTCAAGGAGAGCGAATTGCCAGAAAACAGAAGAAAGGGGCCAATGAATGGCGAGGAAGCCCGAGATCTTGCGAGAAAGAAACGCGCCGAGGCACTCCGTGCACAGAAAGAGGCGAGAGGCGACAGAGAGGATGATGACGTTCAATTCATCACGGATGGACTTGCAAGCGCCTCTCTTGAGACCCAGACACCAGAAGAGGAGGAAAAGCCTGCCGAGACCGAGCATTTGATTGGTTTCTCTCGTATCTACTCCGGAACCCTCTCTGTCGGTGACGAAGTTTACGTCTTGCCACCAAAGTTTTCGCCAGCCAATCCGCTTGCTGAGCCAGTTCCCAAGAAAGTTAAGGTTGAGGCACTCTACATGATGATGGGCCGCAATCTTGAGCTCCTGGACACAGTCCCGGCTGGTGTGGTCTTTGGCATCCGTGGGCTCGAGGGTAGCGGCCTGCTCAAGTCTGGCACAATATGCAGCCAACTCGAGGGATCTGTCAACCTTGCTGGTATAGCAAACCTGCACGGCAAACCCATCGTCCGTGTTGCTCTTGAGCCGGAGAATCCATCCGACTTGGACAAGATGATCAAGGGTCTCCAACTGCTTGTGCAGAGTGACCCTTGCGCCGAGTATGAACAATTTTCTACCGGTGAGCACGTCTTGTTGACTGCCGGTGAACTGCACCTGGAACGCTGCTTGACCGATCTCAGGGAACGCTTTGCCCGCTGCGAGATCCAGGCCAGTGCCCCTATCGTGCCCTACCGTGAGACAATCGTCCGCGCAGAGGAGATGCGTCCTCCGGTCAACAAGGATCTCGGTCGTGGTGTTGTCGTTGGTGTTACCAGCTCCAAGCAAGTCACCATCACTCTTCGCGTGAGGCCACTTCCAGCGGAGGTCACCGACTTCCTAGGCAAGAATACCGCCAGTATCAAGACTCTTTACTCAGGCCAGAAGAATGGTGACGATGAAGGCTCCGTAGCCCAAGATGATTCGTCCGAAGCAGATGCCGTAGAGGACAACGACCTCACTATCACCAAGGCTCTTACCGCAGAGGAGCTGTCCAAGGAACTTCAATCCACCCTTGACAAGAGCGAAAAGGCCCGCGACGCCTCCATCTGGAAGGACGCCGTGGATCGCATCATCTCTTTCGGCCCCAGGCGCACAGGCCCGAACATTCTCATCGACGCGACCAAAGACCAGTTCTTCCCCAAGGCCTTTGCCGCTGACAAGGAGGCTGTTGCCAGGGCCGTCAAGATTTCTGGTGATGAATCCCTCGACGCCCGCCACTTCAGCGACAAGATCGCCTACGCCTTTCAGCTCGCCACCCATCACGGACCCCTCTGCCACGAGCCAGTCCAGGGCATTGCTGTGTTCATTGAGGATGTCTCTGTCAACATTGAGGGCAACGTCACCGCTCGTGACCACATCAACCGTCTCACTGGCGAAGTGATCAAGACTGTACAGCAATCCATTCACAAGGGCTTCCTGGATTGGTCACCCCGTCTAATGCTGGCCATGTATTCTGTTGAGATCCAAGCAGGCAGTATGTTTTCCCTCCTCTCCCTCTTCCCCCTTTAACTTGGTATACTAACCTCCCTTTCCTTCAGCCGAAGTCCTAGGCCGCGTCTACGACGTCCTCACCCGCCGTCGCGGCAAGGTCCAATCCGAAGCCATGAACGAGGGCACGCCCTTCTTCACCATCGTCGCCACCTTGCCCGTTGCGGAATCTTTCGGTTTCGCGGATGACATGCGCAAGCGCACATCTGGTGCTGCCCAGCCTCAGCTTATTTTCACTGGCTTTGAGATTCTGGACGAGGACCCGTTCTGGGTGCCGTTTACAGAGGATGATCTGGAGGATCTGGGCGAGTTTGGTGACAAGGAGATCGTGGCGAAGAGGTATATGGATGGGGTGAGGAGGAGGAAGGGGTTGTTGGTGGAGGGGCGGAATGTGGCTACTGATGCTTCGAAGCAGAGGACTCTGAAGAGGTAAAGGTGATAGAATAGGGGTAGAAGACACAAGATTGGTGAGCAAAAAGAGACAATATTGTGCCCCAAATGCCGTGGCCATCTCTTCTCAGGCCGGAAACAAGGCCAAAGTATCATAGGTTCATTTCATCTATTATCATATTATTAATGATGCTAAATATTCCGCTCTGTCACGCACTGCCCTTCCTCCTCCCATTGCCCCTTGCTTTCCTCCCATGCAAACATGAAAAAGCGAATGTACAAGTCCAACCTTTCGACCAGACCAGACCCAAGCAGCCAGCCAGCAGCAGCAGCAGCAGCAGCACAACGCCCCAACCCCATTGCTTGCTAAAACCCCCAAAATAGTACAAAAAAACGAACGACATATATATACTTGCAATAATTTTTTTACGCATCCGCCTACCAACCACCCACCCCCCAACCCCAACCCCGACCACTCTATACCATAAACCCTGCCTGGTTTTCCATGATCCATCCCTTCCAGTCGTCATGCCCATTTCATCCATCATTTGCTGGCTTGATTCTTCTCAAAAGAAAAAAAAAGAGACAAGACAAAGATTATTAAAAGATGTAAAAACCCACTCCCTTTACTTTCCCATCCCCTCTCGAATCGAACAAAAACCACTTTTCTCACTCCCCTCACTTCTTCTTCCCGTTCTGCTGCTCCCCCTCATCCCCACTCCCCTCATCCTCACTCCTATCATCACTCGCCTCCCGATCCCTCACAAACCTATACGCAATCCTCACAATGAAAAACAACCAAAACAGATTCAGCGCCTGCAAGCTCCCCAGCAAACCCCCCGTGATCCAAAACGCCAAGTCACACTTGTAGCTGCCCCCCTCCCAGTCCATGACATACGGCCCGACAGTCTTGAACTCATTAAACAAGCTAACCAAGATCTTCAAGTTCAAAAAATGCCTCAGGTAGATCCAAGAGCACATAAACAAGAAATAGTACGGTCCCGTGATCGGATGGTCGACATAATTCAGCGATTTGGAAGTGGCGAGGAAAAAGTCCGAAATGTCGTGCGTGATGTACACCGCAAGCCCCATATACGTAAAGTGAAACCTGTAGCTCAGACCGATGAGCGCAAGCGAGACGATATGGTGGCCGACTAGCTCCTTAAAGTCCTTTCGTGGCTTCTCCATCCCAAGCAACAACACAATCGCCTGCTGGGCCCAGTACGCCGCCTGGAAGAGATAATAAAATTTAAACGCCCCGTCGTGCGTCTTGTGCGGGTAACCTTCGTACATCCCCACGACATCAAAGTACCAGATTGGCGTCCTCGACATGACCCACATGCCACACGGGCCCATGATGCCAAAGTAGAGCGCCGTGTACATCTGCTCCATGTATCTCGCCTGCTTCCCCCTCGACTTGAGCCCGACCCAGCGGGAGAGCGGGCGGAGGACCTCCTGCATGATGAACTCGCGCGTGAAGGAGAGGACGACGGTGTAAAAGGTCACAAAGGCGATGTCCCAGAGCCCCTTGCCGTACTGGACGTGGGTCGCCCCCGGGGTTTCCGACAGGGGGAGTCTGTACGACAGGAACAAAAAGTGGGAGAGGGGGTTGGAGGAGGTAGGGTTGATTGCGTAGCCGAGGAGGAAGCAAGACAACAGGAACAAGGGGAGGACCCAAGTGTGTTTTACGCACGTGTGCTTGACTCGGCGGAGGAGGGTGCGGGCTTTGCGGCGTTTGGAGGTGCGTTTTGTTGATGGGGGGGAGGGGGGTTCCTGAATGGGAACAGACACATCGTGAGTTAGTTTTGGTGTGGTGGTGTTTACTTTCGAAGCGGTCAGGAGAGAGCGAGCGATAAGAAAACACATACATTGGAGTGGGCTGCCTGGATGTGCGCAATGCTCGTAGCAAGCGACGGCGAGCCGGTGTCGCCCACTTTCAAGTCATCTCCCAAGATGCTCGCCTTTCTCGTCCTCCTTCGCGTCGCCGTCGCGCTCTCGGTGGTGGTGGTGGTGCCGGGCAGAGGCGGGAAGGGCTCTGATCCCGTCTCCATCTTTGGTGGTTTTAGGTAAGGAAAGCTGTTCAGTTCTGTGTCGTAGGGCGCCACAACGCGGCCGTTTTAATTGTTCGTTCGTTCGCCGGTTTGTGTCTCGGGTTGGGCAAGGAAGAAGAAAAAAAAAGGTTTGGAATTGTCGGAGTCGGAGGCAAACAGCTCTCGAGCCAGCCAGCACAGCGCGCGGACTTGATTTCCGAGGGACTGGATGAGACGGGGGTTCCAAAAACTGCAGGGTTCCCGCAGAAAAAAAAGGCTTCGATTAGGTAATGGATCCCTGCTTGTGCCTGCTGACACTTCCAGACGCCGCCTCTAAGAAAAGTGGTTGCAGGTAGGTATGCGTGTAGGGACTGGCACTGGCTGTAAAGACCCAAATCTCCTTTGTTGATTGTTGACTTCAAGGATAAATAAAGTGGTCAAATCAGTTCAAAACGCCGTGTCGCACAGCACGAACGAACTGACGGTGTTAAAAGTACACTGTGTAGTCGACGGGTCCGCGTTTGGAGAAACGGCCAATCGACGACGGACAACAACTGAACCCCTGATTTTAGGGGACCGAGACCCACAGGTCAAGTGCGAGCCCCTTTTTCTGGAAGCCAGCTGCCGTTCTCGACCGAGTCTTTGGATACAATGCTGACTGCTGTGTTAACAACCAAAAGTGTTATGAGAATCTAGAGCGTAGTAAGATCGTGCAACACAAGCTGACAGACCAGACACATGGAAGCGGCATGGATGGCAGAAATAACCGTACTTGATTTTCCTTCACCAAAACCTCCCGTACAAGCTAAACGATAGATCTGACACCTTGCTGTAGCAGATCACATAACCACTGCTTTTCCCCCCGAAATAAATCACGTCCCAACTAAATAGACGAGAACGTAAGACTACTACTCGTGGTGTGATTCAAAATCCAAAACACTGTCGATATATCGACATCCCATGAGACCATCACTTTTTGTGGCATCCAAAAGCCCAATGAAACAAAACCCTCCGAAAACCCCCTTGAAAATGCTCCGTGAAATAATATGCGCGCCTGCTATGCCCATAAAAATACACAACCACAGCCAAAACAATCGCCCGGTATCTTTTTCTGGTCACGTGTATAAACCTTCATGAAGGAGCGCGGCCACCAGAATCAGGACCAGTATCTGGGCCTGGTGTGGAATCAGAGTCCTGTGATGGGCCCCCTCCTTCAGGCCCTCCCAAATGTCGACCAGAGGAAGGCTCTGTAGGTCTCACCGTGTCCGCAAATGATATCTGAGTGCCACTCGGGGTAACTTGAGGTCTCGAACTTGTCAAGATCGAAGCCGAACGACCAACCAGCGTAGTAGGTGACGAATCATTGGTTGGTGACCTCAGATCCGAGACTGCACGAACTGGGGTTGTCGCTCGTTGGTATTGAAGCTCCTCATCTTCCAACAGTTGGGCGAGAGCAGCCCCTCGGCGAGGTGGTGCTGGAATGACCGTCACAGGCAGACTATCCGTGTCTGGAGCTGGCCGGAACTTCTCCCGCAACCGCTCAGCCTGATTTGCTGTGAACTCTTCAAATCGGCCGCGGATGTCCCACTTCCCTTCCTCTCTTGGTGACTTCTTCTCCTCAGACGAGACGGCATTCTCCTCATCACTCCGCCGACTTCGCTTAAAAGAGAAGCTCGGTGTGAGGGTCTGCCATCTGCTGGACCCACCTCCCTGTGGCCCTTGGCCTTCATCTGCTGGTCTCCGGGGTGGTTCAGTCCGATGGGTGCTTCTACCATCGCTACTTCGGCTTGACGATGTGCTGGCTGTGCGTGATAGGGCACTTGTGTTGTGTGGCGGCGGCGGTGTGGCTTGCGATGCCGAGTCTGTGTTTTGGTGGTAACGAACTGCGTACACCGTGCTCGCAGCGCTCGCAGTGTCTGTCCGACTGATGGGTGTTGCTGCCGGCGCTGGTCTTGCTGGCCAAAGCGGTGGTTGCAAAGATCGTACTCGGTCATGATCCGATGGCTGTGGTGTCGTTTGCGTTGTTGTTTGGTCAGCTGGATCTTGATCCTTCTTTGGTCTCAGCCGAGACCTGTACTTGGCCTTCATGGCGATTACCGAGGGCCATGTATTTCCTCGCTCTCCTTGGGTGGCTGCTTTTTCCTTTGGTGGATTCTCGACGTACATCTCCTTATCCCCGTCATCACTGCCACTCCCTTTTCTTCTGCGGCGAGCACGACCGTCAGAAGTCGTGACATCGAGCATCTCGTCTCCGTCAAACACCTCTCTTCCGAGAATACCGTCTCGTTTCTCTTCCCGTTCCAAAGCTTCGATTCTTTCCACCCACTCCCAGACAACCACACTAGCGGCAGCCGCTCCCACCCATCTGACGTACTCCCCCCAGCCGGTGAAGTCTGGCTTTGCTATATCCAGAATAAAAAAGACCACGGGAATAAGTACCGACATCAATGACAGGGCTGCCATGAGACACATGTTCTTCATCTGCGGATGATAGAAGGCATATCGCTTCTTCATCAGTGAGTAGTAAACCACCCAGGCGGCATACAACACCCCGAGAGCAAGCGTGAAGAGGTAGCTGAGTGCTGGGATGGCATCGGAAAAGGAGCCGGGCCGGTTCGAGCCCGTCTGGTCTGTATATCGAAAGCTGTTGAGAGATTGGAAGATGACGTCGAGCGTGATTAGCGCAAAGGCGGTCCACTTGATGATCACCTTTTCTCGCTGGCGGGGAAAGAGGCGGATGAGAGTTTGGGCTTGTGCAAGCCACAGAAACGTGTTGGAGACAATTCGGATTGCTTTTAGCTCGTTGCCACCCAAAACCTCCTCCTGTAACGCCTTCGCATTCTGAATCTGATAAATATATTGCTCCTCAGCAGCCTGAAAGGTCGCAGCAGACGCAATGGTGAGTGAGATAACGACAGACAGAGCCGCCACTTTTTGGAACCACGGTCTGCCTCCAATCGTCGGCCCCGAGCCGCTGTGAGTGAATCCTCGTCGACCAAGAACAACAACTCCACCATCCAGGAAAGATCGTGGCGTGACGAATAACATGATAACAAGCATATACGCAACTACTGTCGTCGCCGCAAGCGCATAGCACTGAGGAAAGGTTGACGCATAAAAGGGATCGCGGAAGTCGGAATATGTCCATCCATCGTCGTCCGGCATTGCCCCTACATTCGGATCGAGCTCGACTGAACCACCGCCAGCGTTGGCAATGATGGCTGGTGGAGTGACTGGTGTGCATAGTGGCCGGAAAGCGGCCGAGGCTGTGAGGGTAACAACATCGCCATTTGGCATGGACAGAATACCGCCGACCGGGAGATTGAGAGCACCGCAATTGCGACCTTTGGATACTAACGGCGCGTCGGTGGGCACGGGGCCCGCGTTACCGGGAAATAGCTGCCGGGCTTCCATGACGCTGATTGAGGGCGGCCTTCCGCCTAGTTTCTGTTATTGCCCAATCTCCATGGAATTAATTCCTCGAATGAAGCAGTCGTCCTCTCGTCGCAGGAAGGCTGTGGGCGCGCAGCGACGAGTTGTCAGCAGCTCCGGGGGCGGAGAAGCCACACAACCGCGCGGGTGGCAGGTCAGGTCGTCGTCGGGTTTGGTTGCGTCGCGATGGTACTACAGGTGTCTAGGGATTGATGAGCTGACAATCAGGATGCCGTCGCGATGTTTGGCGTGGGGGAGACGATCGCAGAGAGGGCTGGGCGCCGAGAGATGCTCGCAGTCGGGAATCGACGGGTGGGCTTGGAGAGCGGGTGAAGGCAAAAAAACGCAACGGCAGCGTTGTTGTTTGTGGAGGTTGAAACGGCGGCTGGTCGTGTCTGGCGTCAAGTCTGTCGATTTTGTCGTCGCTCTGTCGTCCTGTCTCAACGGCCGGTCTCGAAGACGTTTGAACTTTTGAAAGTTTGATGGTGAAATGATTAATAGCCGGGAGTGTAGAAGGGATGGCCCTTCTCAACCCTGCAAAATTGGCCTGGAGTAAAGAAGCGGAGATACCGTGCCTGGACTGATGAGAGCGCACTGTCCTGAGGGAGGTGACAAAGGGTCAGGTTGCGCTGGCAAATGAAAACTGGGGTGGTCGTGGTGGTGGTACTGTTGCCGCTAGCATTTCAGTGTTCAGCTGCCTGTCCAAGCGAAGTGCAAGCGCCTGCACACCTCGGCCAGTCTCACCGCTCGAGGCCTATGAAAAGAGAGGATTCGAGCTGTTGAGAAACGAAGGGACAAATCTCAGTGTGACAAGTTGCTTGCTTGCTTGCTTCCTTTGTGTTCTCCTCACGATGCTACCATCAACAGCAATACCGGACGTTGTAAAGTGGTCTTGATTACTTCTCGACGCTTCTCCGTCTTCCGTAGACAAAATAGGGGTGCTGTTTAATTAGCGCTTATCACTGGATGGCTATAACCAAGCGGGAAAAAAACAAGCGGCCGGGCAGCACTCGCAGCACAACAACGCTCCTCCAGCGATCTGCCAGCTTTTTTCTGATCCCAGGCTCGCACTGTACGTCTTGGTTGCATCTCAACGCGCAGCGGGGATTGATTGAAAATGTGGTCTGCCCAAGCACACCAAGCACGACAAGATTGGGGCGCAGCGTGATTCTTCGTCACCCCAAATGAGCCATCCTGTTTTCCACCACAGAAATGTTACTTAGGTGGTCTTATTCTGACGACGTGTTCCCTGGAGATACTGGGAGATACTGTGCTGCACAAGTTACACAAGTTGGTGTGGTCGGAAACTGTGGGAGCCCTACACATCGGTTAGCTGGCTAGGACTTGGGACAGTAGTGAGTTTTCCCCGCTTCTCGCTCACGATGGCACCATCTTGAGGTCACCCTTCGCGTTCACACAACCCTTCTATTGCCTTCTTGTCCAGAACCATCTTGTGTGAATGTGAAATGCACGAGAACAGCTGCGGGGAAGCAACCCCTCTTGATTCTATTGATCAATCTGACTGTCCGCCAAGGGTTCCCGTCATTCTTGCCATGCTGTCATTGGTGACCTTGGCGAAGGCTTGTCTGTCGTGGAGAAGAAGCTTGGCGACCCGAAGCCGATGACCCCCAGCTTCGGCATTCTTCGCCCGTCTAGAACTCCTGGGAGGCGTGAACTCAAACCGCAACGCCGGGAATAAGGTCATCATGGTCTTGGACCCTTTCCATCTGATATGGGCATTGCTTTGACCAGTGACACACCACTGTGCGCTTTCACTTCCTTCTTTTCTCCGGACCCCCTCTTCCGGATCGGCATCGTCCCACACCGCCACCAGAATCCAGTCAGAATCCAAAGAGGAATGCCACATGTGAGCATCGGAATGCCAAACCAGGTGTTCCCAAGAAGTTCAGGAATCCTCTTTTGGATACCTTCGGCCGGCTGCTTACAGTCCATCTTCAACCAGCAGAGATCCAGCAGTGGTCACATCGGCTGTGGTCCCGCATGTGCCGAAGCTGCAATGGTCCCATATTCCAAAGCGCTCACTGTGACGGTTCCCTACTAGCTGAGGTGAGATGTCTGATTACACTCATGTGCCACCACCAAATATAGCGCAACTCGTCTTTGTACTGACCAACTGCATACTCTCAAAGCCAATTATCTGCCTTTGAGGCCGGGACGGGGAAACGGACTTTTCAGCCAGAATGTCCCTCACCTCGACGGCGGTCGTCTAGTTCACCAGTTTGTCCGGCTGGTCGTCATCATGCCATCACCGCAGGGCGATTCATTCCACGTGTCTGCCCTTCGGATTGCTGGCGTGCTGGCTTCCGAACATTGTGTCCCAACGTTGACCGAGATCGGGGTCCGTGGCCTTTCTGAGGCCATTGGGATGCCGTGCTGCCCTTCGTGATGGCATTGGTATCGAAGGCTACTGTGACAAGGAAAGCCTTGCCGGACATTAGTCGAAGACATCATCACCTACTTTCTGTTAGCTGGAAGCTCAAGGGGTAGTCCATAGCTCCACCTCGATATTCTTGAAGAAAAGTCCTGTTCCAGACGGATTGTTCGACGGCGGGTAAGGAGTCGCAAAATATGACTGTCAAGTATCGTTAATCTACAAGTCAACGCATTGATATAGGAATTGCTAGGAATTTTAACAGTTCATGGCGGGGCAGTTGAGGTGATGATGAAAGTGGGCATAGTCCACCCCGCAATTTCGCAGTGGGGAAATCACCAGCAGCCGTCAGTGGTTCTGGGAACCAGCTGGCCAGGGGCCTCCCTGCACGCCCAGCGTTTCATGTGCCCCAGGGCCAAAAGACTTCCACTTTTACTTTTACTTACTGCTTTTCTGGAATATCACGACAGAAGAAGGCATTGATATCGACGGTAACCACTAGCTAGTAGCTGCTATATGTGGCAGCAAAAGAGAGTATAGTGCCGAAATAGAAGAATATCACAGGGTATAATTGAACCAACAATCTCTTTATGTGGTATAGAAACACTGTTTCTAAGGCAAGATCCTCGCGTGCCAGCTGGCGGAGCTCACGTCAAGCAATCGAGAATCAATGCCCATCCCCGTTCCTCTCCCATCTTCCCTCACGACATCATATCGTCCACCTCGTCCTGCATTTGTCAATCAATCATCGACTTCTTGACTTTGGACGACACAAACCACCAGACAATTTCACCATCGTCAAAGTTTGGTAGCATCGGGCCTGTCGCGACACGGGCCATGATCGCCGTTTCACCCATGTCATTGCCTCCGTCCAGTGCTACGCAGCAGCTAACAGCCTCGGGCATTTGATCCATCTGATCTCGCGATCAAGCCACAGCCGCAGGTCGAGGGTACTCAGGACACTGGCAGACGTCGGCTGAAGGCGCTCGATATCCCGCCATCCGGATACCATCTGGATACTGATATCCATCTGATAGCGACTGATTAGCCATATCGAGAATTTGAGATTTGGGAATCCCAAACTCCCCATCTTGGCCCAGCGCCAAGCATTAAAATCACCTACACTACCCATAGCCAAGGACAAGGGGGCGCCTCGTCAGCCAGCCTTCCACCTTGGGGGGCCAGCCGCAGCCTGGGATTCTTCAGGGGTTTTCCGCCATCTCTTGAACTTGATCGGCCGACGGAAGGGGAGCCTGCGACGGACGGCTGCATTTTTGCGGTTCTGCGATTTTGTCACTTTTCGCGGCTACACTTTGCGATCTTCCTGTATTCTCCAGGCGCCATCCCTGCTCTCCCGACAGGCTCAGGAACAGCAAAAGTTGGCATCGTCGCGCGGGCCACGGGCCAATTCGCCAACATGACAAGGCCAGAGATTATTCGCGCTGGTATGTGCTGAGAGTTCCCTCATTTCGTCTGCCCCCATGATGCGCGCCGCTGTGGCCCGGTTCCCTGTGGCGCCCTGTCCAGGAGGCTAGGTAGGGGACCGGCTTGCTTTCTGCGCTGCCCTTCGTGCTCCCCCTCGTGCCTGTCTGTGCCTGTGCTTGTGCAGAGCAGGAGTGGCAGCAACAGCAGCAGCAACAGCAGCAGCAGTAGTCGCACAGGAACAACTGTACGTCTAGGACCGTTTCTCTGACACACCTTGTCAACTTTCTAGACACCATCGACCTCCAAGCGCACGACAACCCTTCCGCTCCGCGACACGCCAGGCCGACCCCTGACGGCTCCCTCGCACCACACCAGGCCGAGACCTTGAGAGAAGTTGCGGCAGAAGCAGCAGAGGAGAACCACCGTAGCCCGCCCGGTCTGTGGAACAACGACGCCGACACCGACACCCTCTATTCCGTCTCCGACTCCCAGCAGAGCGGCGGTTACGGCACGAGGCACGACGACGCAGGCAGCATGCAGACGGGCACCCGGCAGGATGCGCTGGCGATTGCCCAGAACGGAGGCCATTCTGGCCACGAGGTCGATGAGGCGGTCATGGACGGCGAAACCGAGGTGGACGTGGACGACGACATGATGGACAGGATCTCGAGCTCCCCTTCAATTGAAGATGGTGGGTTGCCCTCTACCCTTCCAGCTTTTCCTTCTTCTTCTTGTTCGAGTGGTTCTGGACGTTTCTTGGTGCGCTGCTCATCGGATTTGTCTGTAATTGGTGATGCGAGGTCTTCTTCTCCGTACCTCGAAAGTCCTAATTACCTACCTCCGATGAGCACGGATGGGGAAACGGAACGCCACCAGGCGGTTCAACGCTCTTATTTTCTTTCGCCTGCACGTCGCCATCATCATCTGGACGGTGAGTTTGAACTACACGGCAGACCGGACACGCCGCAGCCAGCCACAACCTTTAGCCCCACAAATCCCCTCAACTTTGATCCCCCCGAACATGAACTCCAGTCCGGTGCCGAAGAGGAAGTAGAATTACCGCAAGATATGAGGAGGTACAGGGCAACCCTCACCAGCGGGGAAAGCACCTGGCCGCCCACTCGCCATATCTCACACCGTTATGATGCCACTCCCGGATATCTTCCCTCTAGGGAGCCCGCCGACCAGGACGCCTCTGACGACAGCTACTCGGATTTTCCTAACCTGACAGTTCCCTACCACAGCTCGGACGAAGATGATGATGATGGCGACTTTTCTGACTCGGAAGATCCTAGATTTGTCGACTCTGGTTGGGGCGGAGAGTGCTTACAAGAAGCAGAGGACATCGATTTCGAATTCGTATACGCCCTCCACACCTTTGTTGCCACGGTCGAAGGGCAAGCGAACGCAACCAAGGGTGATACCATGGTTCTTCTCGACGACAGCAACAGCTACTGGTGGCTGGTGCGTGTCGTGAAAGACAGCAGCATCGGTAAGTTGTCAGCGCTCGGCTTTCTGGTTGGCGAAGTGCTCATGGGAAATCACAGGCTATCTCCCCGCCGAACATATCGAAACTCCCACCGAACGGTTGGCTCGTTTGAACAAGCACCGGAACATAGATGTAAGTTGGAGAGGGAGCCGGTGGAAGGAGAGGGGTACTGACAAGAATTAGCTCTCCGCCACAATGCTTGGTGATCAAACCGATAAAGTCCGGAATCCCATTAGATCTGCCATCAAGAGAAAGAAAGCCAAGACCGTCCAATTCGCACCGCCTACATTTGTGGACTATTCTGATATCGACTACTCGAGCGAGGAAGAGGATGTGGCGGCCGAATACTTTGCCCAGGCCGCTCAACAAGGTCAAAAAAACCAGCAGGCTTCCGCTGCCGCGGACACGGAGGACGATTCGGCCAAGGTTGAACCATTGAAGCCCAGGACAACACAGAAGGATTCGAAGCCAGACGAGACCGACAACTCGGCGAAACCACGGAGCTCTGAAGAAGGAGGAGAACTCAAGGTCGACGGGCCCAAGAAGACGAGCGACGGGACTGTCCGAGACTCGTTTTTCAAAGATGACACAGTCGAGACGAAGAAGATTACGCTTACGCCTAACCTGTTGCGGGATGATGATGGAACAAGGCTGTCGAGCGAATCCAAGGAGATGAGACAACGACCAAGCTTGGATAGGTTGCTGGATAAGGACGGCTTGCTCGGCAAAGACGGCAAGAAAGGAAAGGATAAGAAGGAGAAGGATAAGAAGCCCAGTGCCATTCGAAGCTTTTTCTCTAGAAAGGACAAGGATAAGAAAGCCTCCCATGAGGACGAGGATCTGAGCAGAGACAGTCACGAAAGAGAGCCGGAGGAGGAGGAGGTATCGCAAGGGTCGCCAGAGAAAACAGGCCCCCAGAGGCAGCCGAGCAAGTTGCAAAAGCAGCAACCCCGGACGGAGCCATCGCCAACTAGGAAGCCTGGCTCTACTAGAGAAACGGGCAATGGTGTTGACATCAAGGCCTTCTTGTCGGAAAGCAAGGTCAACAATGTCGCCAACGTACCACCCGCCACGATGCGTTTGGTAGAAGCCAGCCCGAAGGGTTCTCCACAAGGCAGCCCGCAGACGAGTGGGAGACCTCAGAAGGCGACCAAGGCCAGGACTCGCATGGGACTTGACGACTTTGACTCTGATGATGATGATCTGGATCCTGAGCCTGTCCAATCTCCACCTTCCCAAGACCCACGACGTCAACAAGCACAACAGCAGAAACGTGCTGCTCCAAACAATACCAATCCCTTCATCACTCAGCAACAAGCACAGCCAGCGTCGCTGGGCGGGCAGGTAGTTAGAGGTGCTCCCACACTTAATTCGCCACCTCAACAGCACGAGGAGAGGCTATCCGAGTCGCCTGTCCAGGTCTCGCCAGTCACGTCTAGCAACCCGCCGCCGTTGATGGTCGATACATCGAGCCAAGAGGAAGACCGGTCATCGCCAAGATCGACACCCTCACCAGAACTGATTGAGCACGAAGATGCGGATACGTCGGTCAACAAGGAGACCATCACGCCGTCCACTTCTTCGAGGTCATCGTGGAATGATACCAACCTCAGGGCCTTTTTCGATTCCGGTTCAGATATTCGGGACTTGCTGGTGGTGGTATATGACAAGTCGAATGTCGATCCGGTATCTTCGGACCACCCGGTGGCAAACGGTTTGTTCAGAGAACAGAATGCTAAGCTTGCTGAGATAACAACTGTAAGTATCTTCATCATTACTGAACTTTTGCAGGAACATTGTATTAATCGTGACACAGCAACTCGACAATATGCTCGGTGACTGGCTAGCCCGTAAGCAAAGGCTACGGGGAACAGTCTAATTATACCCACGATTCCTTTATTTTTCGATTAATTCCCCCTGTACGGCCCGACTACCTATTTTCTCCCTTTGGCTAGTTTGTTTGTCCTTCTTTTTTTCTTCTTGTCGAATTCCCCCTTAGGTACTACACCAACTTGACTTGGTTTTTCTTGGTTTGGTTTTTCTCTTCTTTATCATCAGTATTATTATCAATTGTTTTTCTTTTTATCCTTCGTGATGCATTTACGATACGACACACGCGGCACAACTGTTGTACCTGCTGCCCAACCTATGTTCAAATTTTCCTGTTTTGTGTCTGTTTCTACCACTGTTGTTGAAAGCACGGCTATGCGCAAATGTTTTTTTCTGGATTCTGCTGAATGGAAAGTGACGAGTCTTGGTTTAGCTTTGTTGGGTTTGTGTTGTTGTGGAAGTGTTTTATTTTGTTTTACTTTGAGGGGGGTTGGAAAGGAGGGGGAAGAGCATTGGCAAATAATTATTGTTTTGTAAGGGAGTGTTGTAGAATGAGGAGGAAAGCATCGGGTGATATTGGGGTAGCGGTGGGGATAAGAGCATGTATAGAGATTGAGAGGAACGAGTGAGGAATAGAAGTTGAGGTTTTGAAAGAGACTGTCACAATGATACCCAACGTCAACGTTGAGCCTTGCCGTGTGTGCAGGTTGTCATCTGATGACGACTAACAAGGCTGGCTGAGTCGGGAGTTCCCGCCTTGGTGCATTGCATGGTGCATAAAGGCACTACAACTTGGTTGAACACGGACAGGGCGGATGTTGACACACACACACATGGCAGATGGACCTATCATTCCTTCTCCACTTGGCACAGACTACTTATCCCATCCTAAAATGTGATTCATATACGGGCTTGACCTGCGGAATAGAATACAATTCGTAGATAGACAAGTAGACACGGCAGAGGGAGTGTCACTTGGACAGGGACCAAGGGCTTGGCGATTCTGGATAGACATCTTCCGCGCAATGAGAGCTGAGAAGAAACAATGTGATTCACAGTCGTAGGTGGGGAAAAAAAGAAGCTAAACAAATTCCTCCGCTGCCCGACTCTAACCAATCGACACCGAACTCAAACAACAGCCCAAACGGGGTAGCGAAACATCGCGCTTGGGTGGGGGGTGGAGTCGATCCGACCTCCGGCTTGGTAAACACTCGGACATGTGTGATGTAGTGGAACCGAGGCCGTATCCGACGTACTACGGGGACATCGACGTTCTCTGTTCTGTTTAACTACAACTGTTTACCCCTCCCTTCCCTTCATTTTCGTTCTCATTATCAGTTCTTCTCATACTCACCCTCATGCAAACTCGACTTTCATAACTCAAAACCAACACACTTAGCAAACAAAGTAAACAAAACAGCCGCCAAAATGTCCTTCCTCGGCCTCGACCTCGCCTCAACAAACTACTCTTACTACTCCATCCCCGCCGCCTTTCTCATTACCATGGCTCCCAATGTGTACGCAATGGTGTTGGCGGGGAAGAATTATGATTTGAACCAGTATGTCACACACACACACACCACCATCTCACCCTTCATAACCCTCGCACTTCAGCACCGGATTCCTCGGCTTCTTTCTCGCCCCCATCTCAACAAATATCTTCAATCAAGACATGAAGGAAAAAAGCTAACAGAAATTGTAGACCCCGCCGCACAGAAGAGATTTGTGCCAAAGATACCTCCATGCCCAAGCCCGTATGCACCCTACTACCCTCACATATCTCCCCCCTCTCTCACTCAACAAGAAAACCCCAGTGTAAAAAAAGCACAACACTAACAAACCCCCCAGACCCTTCAAAAAATCTCCCGCGCCAAAGCCGCAACAGCAAACGGCTTCGAAACCCTCTCTCTCTACGCCGCCTCCGTCGTGGCAGCCAACGCCTCGGGCGTCGTCCCCGTCTCCAAGCTCAACACCCTCACCCTCGGCTATGTCGTCTCCCGCGCCGCCTACAACTTTGTCTACGTCGTTGCCCAGGACAACAAGAAGCTAGCCAGCATCCGGCCCCTTGTCTGGGCTGCTGGCGTGATCATCATTATGAATCTGTTTGTGAGTGCTGGTGGAAAGGTCTAAGTATTTTCACTCTGTAAAAGTGAGAGAGTCATTCCGAAGGGAGAAAATGCAAAGGGGGGATTTGATAAGGCGAAAGGGGGTTTGTGAATATGTATTTCTTTGTGCGGCACACCTTGTATATATACAAGCTCATCTCATTTTCCCCCAACCATCCCCATCTCCTCCTTCGAAATTCGTTTAAGCTATATATCATTGTCAGCAATCACTTCTCAACATCTACACCCAGAAAAACTCACCCGGCCCCCCAATCTTGGTCGTAATCGCCCCATCCTCAATAAACACCCCCGAAAAGTAATAATCCTCATTAGTATTCGGATACCCACTCCTTGGCAGCTCCAACACCCCCAAATGCCAATCCTGCCCATTACTACTCGTCGACACACCCCCCACCGGCGCAACCACCTGCTTCAGATCCGCACCCCCCTCACTATACCACAACCCAACCCTGTTCCCGGAGAAATCAATCTCGTACGCAAAATTATGCCACACATTCGCCTTCCACTCGCTCAACTTCCACTGCGTCCTCTGGTTCGTCATCCACTGCAACGCTGGGTTCGCCGCCCCCTGCTCTCCCGAAATCCACCCATACTTTAATTCTGTAAAGTGCGACTCAAAAAAGCAAATCTGATGCTCCTTGTTCACCGACGGCGCGTTGGTGTCCCGCCGCGAAATCGAAAAGTGGTAAAACACCTTCCCGCGGTTGATCGCCGCTTTCGTCTGGGGTATCAGCTCGATCCGGCGCATCGTCTGGCCGTTCCAGTAGGCTGTGCTGTCGAGCGTGAACCGGGCGCCTTGTTTGGAGACGGTGTCGTTGGGGTTCTTGTAGTCAGGCGAGAGGTTGATGTAGCGGTTTACCGTCCCGGAACCGTGGATGTAGTATTCTTTGTTTGTAAAAGCTCATATCAGCCACCATGTGGTTGGTAAGAAGGGGAAGGGGGGGGGGGGGGAACATACGATAAGGACCAACTTGATTAGCCCAAGACCACTTGTTCAGATCCGCCGAGGAAGTAAAGTCGTTGAACCTTCCATCCCAGAGAACAGCACCCTCAACGGCAGCAACACCACAAAGGGCGGCGGCCAACAATGTCGACGTCTTCATTTTGTCGTTGAAAAACAAACACAAACAGCCAAGGGGCTTGGGAAAAAACAAATCGATCGACAACTCGGCATTCACTCGAAGCTTATATATACCCCCAACCCTTTCTCCCCCGCATATTCGCAATCCATTTTCATATGTGTATGCGGGTATGTATGTATTCACGGCACCATAAAACTCCGGCTGGTACCTATATAAAAAGGCACGACGGTCCGCGTCCGACGAGGAATATACAACCTAGTCGCTATATTCCCGAGCCTGCGGATGTCAGCCTCCGGAAACTTTCCAGGGTCAGAACAAAAGTGGGCGGTTGGGTGATCTGTTGATCGATAACTAAGTGAGGAGAGAGAGCGGAGTGGTGGTGAAAGAGGCGGGTGTTAGAGTACAAATAAAAAGGGACAGGCTCAGGCTAAAGTCGGATAGGCCGCGTTTGTGATGTACTTCGGCATCTCTGCAATCAATGAGATCTGCCCCGTGTAGTGATGTGGGGAGAAGCTTTTATGGGATAATAGATAAATGTGTTAAAGGGCGGGAATGAGTTATTGGTTGTATTGTCTGGGGATGACTGGCTGCCCCATAGGGGTATAGATGAGGTAGACATTGCACACTTGTTGCGGTAATAAATGAGATGGGTAGTTTGCGATGGATTACATAGGTGTTTGGCTCATGTTTGGGGATAACTGTCAGCGGCGATGGTGTAATCTCTCAGGGTAAGTGCTGCTCATGTTTGCTTATCAGCAGGAGGTTTAAATATTATGGAAAATCAAGATATCAGTTGGAACAAGGGTCAATGAAAGAGTGATAGCGTTAGGCAATGCTGAACGGGAAATCTATGGAGAGATGATGGATGTGGAAGCAAAGGTCTGTCATTACCTTGCTCTTGCCTTACTTCCATGGCAACGTAACAGCAATATGTGCCAGACAGGAGCGACTTGGGAGGAGATTGACGACCACTCATCAGCAACCCTAACCCTACCCACCTTGTTGGGCAGGTTGAGAGCAAACTTGAGTGAGTCAACAAGATTGGTGTTATGAGGTGAACTACCAGTGTTTGGGAACCTGAAAAACTAATTGTCTGATGCTCATCAGTGAGACAGAGCATGGTGGTTGTGTCTGTAATCAACGACTTGACATCAAATTCAAACCGATTCAGTTCGATTGACGCAGTTGACAGCATCAGAAACATTGCAAACTCGCAACAAAATAGGTCAATCGCAGAAATGCTATGCCATATTCCAAACTCGGAGCAACACAATAGGCCACAACGGTAGCTTCAGACGTAGAATTTTTACAAGCTTGTCAAACAGCAGCAAACAACTCTTGACTTGTTTTGACAGCAGGGACAGGCAAATCATTCGCAAACACAAAAATACACATGTTGTGGGTGATGAAATGTCGAGACCACCCCACAGCTCGGACCTAGAATGGTCGTAGTCCAAAGCCATAATGAAAGGGATAAGGTGATCACTTCGATTTAGGAGGCCGGGAACGGAGGAAGATCCATAGAGAATAAGAATAACCCTCAGCAAGCCACATTGTGGAGCCGCCATTCGCACCAATACAACCCGTCGTCAATTCCACTTGGCGGTGTAATATTGGACAGACTGCATTGATGTGTAGATAAAGAAGAAAAAAAGAAGAGGAGGAAGTTGGCCAGCCTGACCAAGAATATATACTCAAATTTTTGGCTGCGCAGAAAGTGGGGCTGCTGAATTAGGGCTAGTGCGGGTCTGTGGGTGGGCGACGATACGAGATAAGGATAAGGATAAGGATAAGCTTTTTTGGTGAGGTGGAGGGGCATCATCCGCCTCAAGCTTCCTTCAACACCACAACTCAACAGTTCTTATCATGCCCCATCTACGAGAGATTCATGGTTCACTCGATTTGGAAGCCGCCGCCCGGCATCTGCTCGGCCTTTCTTGACTCGATACGGACAGCCACGACAGCATCTGGCGGCGGGGGGCTGCTGCAGACGGAACACATGCTGTGGATGCTTCTCAGATGGGCAATTCTCCCCCAAGTCAAACGTTGAGCAAGATCCGCGATCTGGTCTGTTTCTTTGCCTGGACACTGACATGAACATGCGACGAGACATCTACTGCCGGTGCCACAACATCCCAGCCCGCTTGTTCGGAAGGGAAGCCGATGGGAAGCACAGAACAAAAACCCGATTGTCCGCTGTCGGAGCAAGGCCCGACATGATCCGCTTGATCTGCTCGGTCCGCTGGGACATGAAAGCGCTCGCCGGCCGGCTTCTCGGGTGGACACATGAATTGTCCGTTGCCGTTTCATGTCTTCCGAATTGCATGTGATGAAGCCATATGGAGCGAGCTACATTACAGCACCTGTCACCCCTTTCCCAGAGTCATCGACTTGCTGCGGTCGATCATCACGGCCTTCCCGCCACGAGCGCTTTCGTACTCCCCCAGAAGTTGAGCTATCACCGGGTGACTGCTGCTGCCTTCCATGGACTGCCGGTGGTGTCGACGGAATATTCCGGTGTCGTATGAATGGGGATCACAAACTCCATCACCAACTCCCAAAACGAACCAGCTTTCTGCGTCTCCTGCTTCTTTGGGAATGTGTGTCATGGAAGCCAGCCGCAGAGCACTGCCTAACGATGAAAACTGGCGTCGTCCAACCATTTTCGTGGCAGAGATGCTGATCCCAGCAGCCGTGGTTCCTAGCTTCAGGAGAGCCCAAGGTTGATCACCTCTCACGCTTCACATAGCTCGGACTCTTGGAGGGTTTTATAAATCGCTTTTCTTGGCCAACTCGTAGCTGCTTAAAAGTTCCCAGTTCTCCTTTCCATCAACCAGGCGCAGCGGTTACGTGGCAAACCTCCGGCTTGGAATTGCTGGTGATACAAGCACAAACGTTGCCCGCACACACCGGATACGATACTCCTTTCGGCGGGTAGTAGCACAGAAGAAACGAGCCTGCCCGTGGCCGTTGATCCGCTCAGTTGACGGAAGCGGTGTGTTCTGCTCTTGTGATGAATGATTAGCATGGTCCTGTCTGTGACAGTTCTTGTACCATCCTCCGCTCCCACATGCGCGCGAGACGGCGACTGCACGGGATGGGTTTCTGGCAAAGGGGTAATATATATATAGGGGGATTGCTTCCTGAAGGGATGCTCGAGTGTCTGATAGCCATCTTATCATATTCTGTGCGCGGTTGACATTCATTCCATTCTTCCGAAGCTTGGACAAATTCTCTCGACCGGGCTCAAATCCATTAGAGAGCCAGACTTTTCAACCACGTCCTCAGTAATAGCAACATTATCAACATATACTCTCATCCACCGCAGCAGAATTGGAACCTCTCTCTCTCTTTTACAAATTCTGCTCTCCAAGCTCCAGACGGTCAATAAACACAATGTCTTCGTACGCATCCCACCAACCACAAGCTCTCACTCCTCAAGGAGGCGAGGACTCGTCGACCAGCTCGGGGGGAGGGGTCGCTCCTATTGATCCCCGTATGTTACCTATCTCAAGCAACCATCGTGGGGGGGAAGGGCGGGCCGGGGGGTAAATGGTGACTAATCCGTTTTTGATGCCAGAGTTTGGGAAGAAGAAGCCCTAAAAACCATCGTGCTCAACCTGTTAACATGGCAACCTATACCTTTTTCTTTTTTTCTTTCATTATGGGACCACACTGGGGGGCAGAAGGGGGGATTTGGGAAACAGAGAGATACCCCTATACACTATCCTACACTCGCTTTGTTTTGTTTGTTTGTTCTTTAATCTCTAATTATTAATGCACTCGCTCTCTCTCAAGGGTTGTTGTTGGAGTTGGGGGATGAGGGAAGTTGATGGTGGGCGTTTCATGGCCAAATGCTTGGTTAGATTTAATTCGAGTAGTGTTGGAGGGAGAGAGGTTGGAGATGATACAAAAAAAGTTGCAGGGTGCAAGGAATGCTGATGATAGGAATAATTGCAGAGCAGGCGCGTTCGAGGGTTTAGGAATAAGAGATACTACCTACCTAACTCAAGATTCTCATGCCAAAAACGGTTTCTTGACAGTTCGTATGCCAAAAGAATGGCGATGACGCTATTTTGTGATGTTTCTCACAGTAATGTTGGTGATGATTTCTTGGTGTTTTTCACCTGCAACGACCCGGTGGCTGAGCCAAAATCCCAACAATCCGGACATGTAAACAAATGTACTGCCTATTCCCCAAGTCCTACAGCAACGCAACGCAACACGCACCGTGTTCCTGGGATGGTGCATAACATGACATGACAGCAAGCCACACCGACCGAAAAGAAAACCACAGTCCACAGAACCAAAACCCGCCCCCCCCACGCATGCAGAGTTCCCCCCCCTGTTGTGTCATCACACAATACAGAAATATGTGGATTCTTTAATAACTACAAGGCTTCGTCGGGACCAAGTTACACCCAACCCAAGACAATATCCATACCCGCCCGGCGAAAAATCTCGTTAAGACGGGGGAGATGAGGACAAAGAGATGGGAAATTTCCTCCCGTGCTCCAAAATAAGCAAAAGTCGTCAGATTGAGTAGAAAAGATGGACCACTGGTTAGACTTTGGGCGCGGGTGTCGTATTCATATACCGCCAGGATGGATTGGTTGAACGTCGTGTCTTGTAACGCCCTGAACCAAATCAGCTTCCGCCGTAGGAATAAGCGCCCCAACTCGCCACCATGCGTTGTGAGATAACTGGCGGATGTTCAAGCGTACCGCATTCGTAGGTGGGCTCGGTAATGGTTTGTTTAGGTTAGGGAGAAATTGGTTCTTGTCATTGGTAGGTAAGTACCCCGACTGCTGGCTCTTGTTCGCTTGATGAGAAGGTCGATTAGGTTTGCTGTCAGAATCAACAGCAGGCGGTTTCTCCAATATCCGGAGTCGTGGAAAGTAGCGTGCGAAGAATGGTTTGGTGGCTGCGGCCGAGGCGCAAATCTATCAACAAAGGATTAGATATTGGCTCACATGAGGGAAAAAGTTTTTTCGTATCACCTACGATACCAAGAAAAAGCTCGACTGCGCCTGGAAACCTGGTGTCGTACAGACGCCAAGTAATATCCCCATCCGGACTGGTGACCATAACCCAGGTGAGATAGGTCCTGACTGAGCCAGCGATGCAGACGAGCAATCCACCTGCAAAGAGTAAAAGAATCGTGAGACGTTGGGGGAGAGGCAACTGAATACCCAACACCATCTTGACGGGGACGAAGACGATGAGGAAGTCCAGGATGGTGTTGATAATACTGGCAACAATAACGTGAAGCCCTTGGTTGATGCAGCGATGTGGCCCAAGAGCGACTGTCCAGATGTCGGATATGGGTCTCTGCTGGTCAGTATTCATTGCCAGACCACCATCCGGGAGCAGAAACTTACGAGCATTGGAATATCGTCACGAGCACAAACACAATTGTATCGAGTGTTACCACCCCGGATAGGACAAACACAACGTGCTTGGTCCGGCCCCTCGAGCAAGCAGCTACTCTGTAGAGGAGAGCGAGAATGGAAAGCTTGGTGAACCCTGTTGCCAGGGCAAAGAGAATCTGCTCTGCAAGGCTGCGGCCGAGTCAGAAAGTTGGTACCATGGAAGACGGCAATGGGCGTAACCTACCCAACCTGCAAACTCAGCATCACCAGTTCAGGGCGTACATCCCACGTGTGACGATCTGTGTCGAGTCTGAAGTGACCTATGGCCTGGAGCACCACAAAGGCCACCGCGGGTACCTGGTAAAGCGTTAGTGTTGAGTGCTAATGCATCCAGACATGGTTTGAATAACGTATGCAAGGCAGATCAGCACGTCGTCGTGACCGAAGCCGTTGGATATCCTCACGCGTGTATAGATTCGTATGGCGAGAACAACCCCTGCTAAACTCAACAGAAGTAACCCGACAATGATGTTGTTTGGCCCGCGAGTTTCTGGATCAACGTGATTCGATGGAGGCCAGGAAGCAGTTATCTCTGCTGTGATCCGCATGCTGTGTCTGAAGGTGTAGCAGGAAGGGCCAGAGTGCAGGTTCCACGCAAGCCGAGATGCTGGTCGGCCTAGGCCAGGGCTTCGACGAGGACGTCTAATGGGCAGCGGTACAAATATACCATGTTTCTTGACCAAGACCTCGAAGAGCTAGTTTACTTCGTTAGGCAGTGTCAAGAGACCTCTTGATAATACCACGAATTCAGTTGAAACAAGACCTCCATGCACTAAAATTGATACAGCGAACTTCACGTGCAGTACTGGAGCTCTTGTAAACATGCATGATGCTCGGCGTGATCCTCGAGTCCATCGGCAAATGGTGCCAGTAGATGGTGTATGAAAATGTTTACAGGAACTGAACTAGAGAGGTGAGCCAAGAGGTCGGAGACGCCGGTGACTGCGATACATGGCCATCACTGTGACCAACCCGAGCACTGACAGCTCAACCCTTGTGCGGATCAAGTTTCAAACATGTGCTTCCTGCCAAAGAAGAATAGGAATGTACGATGCTAGCCTTGGGAGATCTCGACCCGTCACTTGAAGGCGCATGGAGATGTGGGGTGGTAGGGTCGTGGGGGTACAGCCACTTGCTTGACAACCCATGACTTGTGCTTGAAAGCACAGCAGCTCTCAGACGGGATGTGAGTAGCGAGGAGGAGCTCTGGGGAAACGCTGGTCACCAACACCAACCAACCGGCAGTCTTCCTGTTGACTCTCGAGAACATGCAAGTCTGATCGGGTTCACTTGACCCGGACAGGTGATGTTTCAGGGTGGCTGAGGCGCACCGAGCACCGGTGGTATTTTTTTCAGAATGCGACTGTGATGAGCTCTCGAAGAAGAAACAACATATGCTTGCAAGTGTTGGATATATCTTGTGATCCAATACTGAAAGACGTGAGTCGATAGGTAGCCGAAGGTAACGGTGAAGTAACAAGTGAATGGATGATGCAAGTGCAACAGCGGACTCCCAGGACTTGTCGTTGAATCCAGCTGGTGACCAGGTGCCAGCCGAGATCCGGTCCGCCACTACGCCTTACCTAATGGGAGCTAGTGCCACCCCGCCAAATCCACCCACAAAAATTCCTGGGATTCGCAAAATCACTTTTGATCTTGAATTCTCGGCTTTCTCCTCGTAAACGACCGACGCAAAACCACACCTATAGAAGAAATATCTACAGGAAGACGGCAAAATGTCCAAGATCTCCGTCGGTACGCACCATCAACGCCCACCCAGTCGACATCTACGATGAAATGGCAATTGAACTGACTCTGTCGCAGCCGGTGTGCGTCAGCACGTCGCTGAACTCCTCGAGTACAGCAATGAGACCAAGAAGCGTAACTTCTTGGAGACTGTCGAGTAAGCCAGCAACCTCCTCCTCGAAGTGAGGCCGCCATCATCGAAAACATGTTGCTAACAGCCACCAAAGGCTCCAGATCGGTCTCAAGAACTACGACCCCCAGCGTGACAAGCGTTTCTCCGGCACTGTCAAGCTCCCCACCGTCCCCCGCCCCAACATGAGCATCTGCATCTTGGGTGACCAGTACGATATCGATCGTGCGAAGCACGGCGGTGTTGACGCCATGAGCGCCGACGATCTCAAGAAGCTCAACAAGAACAAGAAGCTCATTAAGAAGCTTGCCCGCAAGTACGATGCCTTCGTTGCTTCCGACACCCTCATCAAGCAGATTCCCCGTCTGTTGGGTCCCGGTCTCTCCAAGGGTATGTTGTGCTGTCTTCCCAGTCGAGGTAACTTGCGAATACTAACTTTTTTCGTGTGTAGCTGGCAAGTTCCCTACCCCCGTCTCCCACAGCGATGATCTCTCCGCCAGAATCACCGAGGTCAAGTCCACCGTCAAGTTCCAGCTCAAGAAGGTTCTTTGCATGGGTGTTGCCGTTGGCAACGTTGGCATGACCCAGGAGCAGCTGATTGCCAACATCATGTTGGCCATCAACTACCTCGTCTCCCTCCTCAAGAAGGGCTGGCAGAACGTTGGTAGCCTTACCATCAAGGCTACCATGTCTCCTCCCCGCCGCCTCTACTAAACTGGGAGGTCAAGTGGTGTTGACCGGGTCTGGAGGGTTACGCTGTTCAGGTCCTTTTTTTGATTCGGGCGTAGATATGATGGCATGAAGTCACAGTAATGAAATCAGATTTAGCCTGCCTTTTTCTCACTGCCATTGTGATTGTGAAGTTCAGCTGTGTTTGGTGATTTGTAGGTACTGGCTTACTCCGCGTGGGGCGAATGATCTTCGGCCGACTGCAGTTTTGATGCCGAGACTCCATTGTAAATCCGGGACTAACCTGTTTCCCCAAGCGGTGATGTATTGATAAGCAAGATGGACCGCTCCGGCTCCGGCCGGCTCTACCAACGGGATTGGGAGAAAGCTCAGCCAAAGAGCCCCGCCCCGCCCCCGCGCAACCTCATAGAGTCTGGTTGGAATTCCGTGATTGAGCTTCGATATCATATCTCTTTTTTTTTCTAATCTTCATGCTCTTGTTTCTTTCGCCAAGAACCAGGACGAGATTTCTCAGGCTCACACAATCTACCACTACCACGCTCACATTTCGCTACGCACACACAGCACGACGCTCCCCATCACCAGCATCACTATTAGCATCATCGATCAGCAAATACAAACCCGCCAAAATGGCCGCCACCACCGCCACGCCCGACCTGCCCATCCTGCCTCCCGAGGACAGCCACCTCACGGCCAAGTTTGGCAGGGAGACGGCCAACTACTTTTCCGGGTCACCGCTCAACAGGCTTTCCTTTCTTCGGACCGACCACGCCTTTCTCGCGCCGGCGTTCAAGCACCCGTCTGCTAGCTTTTTGCTGCTGGACAGTCTGGCTCCGCTGGTGAAGAAGGATGACACCACTCAGCTGGCGTTTGTTTCGCTGGGGGAGATTAGGGACGGGTTAAGGGGGGAGGATATTTTTGAGAAGACGGAGGAGGAGCTGGTGAGGGAGTTCAACAGTGAGGATGAAGAGCGGATTGTTGTTTTTCTTGGGATGGATGAGAGGGGTGTTTTGGGTGGTCATGGGGGACACCAGGGTGGAAAGAGGTTTAGGTATAAGGATTTTGAGGGGGTGCCGTATTTTGCGGTTGATGTATCCAGGTGGGAGGGGAAGGAGGGATTGAGTGAGAAACTGGAAAAGGAGAGGGGGGCGATGTTTTACGGGGGAGGGCCGAGGCATATGGGGCTTGTGGCTGGTCAGGCGGCTATGTATGGGTATGCGAGGGCGTTGGTTGATTGGAATGCGAGGACGCCGTTTTGTGCGCAGTGTGGGCAGAGGACGTTGAGTGTGAATGCGGGGACGAAGAGGGTTTGTCCGCCTACTGATAGGGGGGTGGAGAGGAAGGCTTGTGCGACGAGGGGGACGGTGAGTAATCACTCTTTTCCCAGGACGGATCCGACGGTTATTATGGCGATTGTTAGTGCGGATGGGTCGAAGGTGCTTTTGGGGAGGCAGAGGAGGTGGCCGAAGTATTGGTATTCTACACTGGCGGGGTTTCAGGAGCCGGGGGAGAGTATCGAGGAGGCGGTTAGGAGGGAGGTTTGGGAGGAGAGTGGGGTCCAGGTTGGGAGGGTGGTGCTGCATAGTAGTCAGCCGTGGCCTTTTCCGGCGAGTTTGATGATTGGGGCTGTTGGGCAGGCACTTCCTGGGGAGGGGGAGAAGATTTATCTGGGACATGATGCTGAGTTGGAGAGCGCGAAGTGGTTTCCTATGGATGAGGTTAAGGAGGCATTGGCGAAGGGGACGCATAATATGGGGGATGAGGTGCCGAAGGAGTATGTTGAGGGGGCGTTGAGGTTGCCGCCGCAGACGGCGATTGCGAATAGGTTGATTAATTCGGTGGTGGAGGGGTGGTGGGTTGCGTCGAAGATGTAGATAGAGGTGGTGTTTGGTCATGTTTTGGCATAGCGAGCACTGAATAGAGATCATTTTTGCTTGACTACGTGTATGGCCATCAAGGGTGATGTTCAGCAGTAGGACGTAGAGCCCACCTAAGACACCGGTAAAGTTGGCGCGTGGGCGCTTAGAATTCTCTCTATCGAGTCTCCCTATCCTCTCTTGAGCTTTCAAGCTTGATGGCCCGGAGATCTTGCACAAGCTGTCAGTAACCACAATGGCTTTGCAAAGAAATGTTGGAAGCCTCCATCACCAGTCAACGAAAACCATGCGAACGCGGTCTGGCTCCAAAAGGAAACAATGACAGAGGTAAATCCATTCTCCTCTAGCACTCAATATGACCAACATGGCGTAGAAAAGCCATCCATATCGGTTGATTTTATGGTGCGATTTTAAGTGTAAGGAGAAAAAAGAAAATCTCAAAAGTGAGCCGTCACATTCTGACCCAAGTACATAATTGAGGTGAGCGGTGAGCGGTGGCAGAATTGAGGGCAGTGGGGTTCTTTTCAGAGGTTCAACACTCACCATACGCACTGACCACATCCACGATGAAGGCAGGAACGAAGTAGGTCCTACTCAGCGCTTTCCTCATCGTGAACAATTACGTGGATGGGCCAAGATGAGATGTCATGCTCTTGAAAATCCGCTTGCATTTCTCCTCTTGCAATCCTATCCCTCATTTGACAACAGTGACTCTACATCCATCAATCTAGTCGGTACCACCTGCAGTTGGGCCTGCATTGCGGCTGTGCCACCCTGCTGCAGTGCGATTAGTAGGACGATATCCTTCTGCATGGTACTTCTTCGGCCAACGAAGGTTTAGCTGGAACCCCTGCCCACCATGCTCGAAGCAACAAGACAGGATACCTTACTGCATATGGGGATGGGCGAGCGGCCCAACAGGCAGACCAACTGCTTATCCCACCCTTCTGAGCTCTTATACCTAGCACCGATGGAACCCCGCTCCCAGTCCTATGATTCTTCGTCCTTGGTATCTTTCCTTCAGTCTGCTGGTTCCTCATATCCTCCGTCAACATGGAGAAACCTGTGCCAGTCGTCAAGGTGGAGGGCATCCAAACCCAGAGCAAGATTGACCAAATGTGGCAGGAGGCGCTGGTCACTTTCAAAAGTCTGACAGGGAAGAACCTCCAGGATGTAGCGCCAGCGTCGCCAGAAGAACTCAGGAAGATCATCGAAGCTCGTGCCAAAGAGCAAGACACCGAAGAGTTCAAGAACAGATCAAAGGCCCGGGAGAGAGGGTTGAGGATCTTGGCATGCATCAACAAGTTCGGCGAAGCTGCTGTGCAAGGCGTTTCCACGGTAGGTCATGGTTTCTCAAAGCATTCTTCTGGAGTGCTAACTGTTGGTTTCTAGGTGTTTGGCGGAGCCGATATATGCTTCAAGGGCCTTTCTCTGTTGCTGGAACTGCCCAAGAAGATGAAGGAGTTTCATGAGGTTGTCGACAAGATCTTCATCCGTATTGCCCCGGTTCTCCAGGGCTTCAAAGTCTATGCAAGGGGAGAGCAGATCCAAGCCATGGATGAAGACTTGATCATCTCGATCCACAAGGTCATGATTGCCCTTGTCACGATATGCGCTACGGCTCTCAACATTGAGCATGCTCGAAAATGGGAGAGGTTCAAAAACTTTACCAAGCGTGCTTTGTGTGATGACACAGAACTGGACGAGGAGCTGGAAAAATTTCAGATGCTTGTGGAAGGGCAGCAGCATGTGCAGGGGGCTGTAACGTTGGTGCAACTCCTCGACGTCAAGGCTACGGTTGTCGCGAATCTGAAAGTGACGAACGAAATCAACTCTGACATCAAAGGCATCAAAGACAGAGTGCAGAAAAAGGAGGCGGAAAGCTCCAAGCAGACCCTGCTCACCAAAATCAAGTCTGCACTTGGTATTGACCCCAAGGACCCTGATACCTCGAAAGCTACGTTTGAAGACTATCTTAAGAAAAGGGCCCCGGGGACAGGAAGCTGGTTCAAGCCTATGACTGATTATCAGGGCTGGGTAAACACGAACGCTTCTGCTCAAGAGATCAGCTCCTTCTTGCTCCTGACAGGAGGTCAAGGGTTCGGCAAATCCTTCTCCGTGGCTTCCATTATCGATGACCTAAAACAGCGAACCTCAACTCCCGCCGCCATCACACAGACTCACCGTTCCCTGATCGGCTTTTACTTTTTCCCCGCCCGAAGCGGGAAAGCAGGAGACGAACAATACCCGGTCGAGATGGCACTCAAGTCTATCGCCATTCAGCTCGCTGAGCAAGACGAGGTCTACGCAAAAAGCATTGGTGAACTCGACCAGCTCAAGGATGCAAAACCCTCGAAGCTATGGGATGCTTTGAGACTGGGTTCGCCGATGCCGAGAACCACACATTTCATACTACTCGACGCTCTAGACAACCTTCTCCCCCCAGAACAGGACGAGTTGCTGAAGGTTTTCCAAGCTGTCCCAAGGACTGGCACGAACGGAAGCTCCATCAGGGTCCTCGCTACTGGAGCGAGCTCTATATTTGAAGTTCTCCAGGCGACGGAAAACCTGTCAGTGCGAGAAGTCAAAGCTGACCGTACAACAATGGAATCCGAATTTCGCCACTACATTCGACACAGACTTCAGGCTCCCATCATGTTGCCCGGCCCTGACTTGTCGGAGAAGAGAGAAGGCATTGAGAACAAGATCATGCATAGCGAATGCAGTTTCCAGACGATCCAGGCCACACTTGGTGCGGCTGAAAGTTACATTGCATCCAGTAAAAGTGACGAGGAGCTTAACAAACTCTTGGATGACTCAACCCGAGATACCAGTGTATTATTGGTTGATACTGTAGAGAAACTTCAAGCTGGATTGGATGTTGGGCAGATTGGCTGGGTCAATGAACTGTTGATGTGGGTGCTTTTTGGGGAACAGTCGCTAACTATCCCCCAACTGGAGGCCGCCTTTGTAAGACCCAACCAAGAGACTAGAGTTTCTCACTTGCTGACCCATCTCTTGTTTTAGTTCCTTCGTGGCAAGTCCCTCCCAATCCAAGGCCTCGAAAACTTCATCAACAGCAGGCTGAAGAAGCTCATCACCAGTGGGCCCCAGGGTATATCTCCAGTAGATGACAATCTTGACAAGGTCATCACCAAACCGAGGGAGCTTTCACAGGGTGGCCCTGACAACAAAACAATCAGCCTGGAGATAAAAATCAACAACGCCAGCATCTCTAACGTCCAACGCTTTCTGTGGGACCTTACCAAGTTCTCAACTTTGGATGGCTTCAGTTTTAAAGCTGATGATGCGGCCGCCCAGATCGCTCAATCGCGAGGCATCATCAGAGTCAACAAGACCGACGCTTCTCTTGCAATTGTTGAATCCTTCTTTAAGTTCCTTAAAGATGACCCAAGCGAGAAATCAGAGAGCATCAGGCAGTATCTGATCGACTATCTGGCAGATCACCTTCGAACTCTCCGTACAGCTGAGGGTGACGACAAGCTAACTCCTAGCGAAGCAGGCAGTATCGGAAAGCGTATATTTGAGCTTTTCGACTACCCGGATGCCTCCTTGAAGAAACACTGGGACTTCTTCAATTCTAATTGGGAGTTCATTGAAGAGCGCAATATGAGCGAATTTTGGGAATGGATTCAAATGGATACGACACTCGCCGAACTTTCTGGCAAGGAAAGAGACCACATCGTTGAACTCAAGAAAGATGTGAGGTGGGAACGTAAGCTGCTCAAACCGACCATGAAGATGGTGGCGAAGATGTGGCTTCGCGAGCGCGGAAACGACGTGTACTACCTCCTGGCGTGGATCAAGGGGGCCCTCATTCGAATAGTACGTGGCCCCTGATCAGAGATGTTCATGAGAATTGATCACTGACGCTATAAACAGAAACAGGAGGACAACCGTGCAGCAACCAAAGCCTCAAAATCCCCGGAGACAACCTCGTTGTCCAGTACTGCCAAGCCTCCTGCGACTGCTGGCCCTCTTACACCTTCCGAAACCGCCACGTCCAACACGGATACACCGGCTTCTACTGCCGATTCTGACGTGCCTGATAGGCCTGCGAGCCCTTCTCCTTCTAGCACTTCCACTGAGGAGGAGTTCGACCCCCCTGTAAAGGTTGATATCACAGAGGCAGCGAGGTGGTGCCAAGAGATACTTGAACTCAAAGACGAAGAGCTAGACTCGCTGTGGTACGAGCGTCTTGGTCAAACGTACAAGGATTCATATCCGGTGAGCTTCAAAGACGCGATCGAGCAATACCGAAAGGCCGAGAAGTGCTCCAGTCCATATCCGTCATGGGAGGTTCTGATTGGGTTGTCATACTCCTTACTCGCCGTTAGTTCGGCGAACTTCGACGAGGCGCGTGCAATCCACGACCGGGCGATGAACCTTTACAAAGATTCTCCTTCTGTCAGTATCGAGCAGAAGGTCTCTCAGCTTAAAGACTTGGCGTGGTGGTACGACAATTACAAAGAACCGGAGAAAGCCCTTGAGGTCTTGGAGGAAGTACTTGTCTTGGCGCCTGGACACGGGGAGGCCCAGTACGACATCATGAGTCTATTGATTAAGCTGGAAAGAGTGGGGGAATTGCACGAATTGGTCTCGAAAACAGCGGCGTCCAAGGAAGCGGCGGGTAAAGAGGCCGACAAGGGGCTGACACCACTTGGGTCCCTCGTTAAGGCAGTTGCTATGAGTAACGCATGGAGCCGCGCGGATCCTCTCTTCTGGAGAATAATCTCCATACTTGAAGCCACTGGCAGCGTGGAAGACCTGATGGGGGCGCTCGATGCGGGTATTTCTTTGTCCAAAGGCGACAAGGAGAATGAGTATCTTCAATCTGTCCTCATTACTTACAAGGGCATGGTCCATATGCATCGCTCGGGATCTGAGGATATCCACCATGTGATGGAATGTTGTGAACTTGCCCGGAAACTTGCGCACGAAAGATTGAGCCGGACTATGCCATGGTGGACCGATCGGATATACAACAAAACCACGGTGTTGGCTGACAGGTTTCACTTTAACCAAGCCAGTGGGAGAGGAAGACTTCCTGGAAGCACGGCATTGACGACCGAGGATCACGTCGAAGCCCTTAGGAAATCGATGACTGAGTTTGAGAAGAGTCTCCGTGACCGCTTCGACGTCCAGCTCTCCATAGCTAAGAGCTACTTGGCTGCGTATTATGCGCTCAAGTCACCGCAAAACCTCGAGGAGTCGAGGAGGGTTTTCGCTTCAGATATGGTACGGGTGACGAACATGCTATCTGACGGGAACAAGCACAACGACGCGGACAGCTTGAGGCAGCTGAGCGCCATCCTGCTGCATACCGGGAATGTTCAGAATTCGTTGGCTTGCATGCGGCTGGTGCCGCCTGATATCACCAACGGGAGTGCTGCATCTACCGCCAAAGTGCTGACTCGACTGCTCTGCCCGGAGGGCGGCCCTCCAAAGGAAGGAAGTGTCGCTCACAGGGTTCTGTCCTCGTTTGACAACAACTCGAAAAACATGTTCTATATACGAAGTGACATGATTACGACGGTGAACGACCTGATGGACAAGCTTATTGACGGGCGGTCTGCTTCTCTTGCCGAAGCAGAAAAAGAGAAAGAGGAAGAGGACGTCGACGCGACACTGGCGCGGCTCCGCACGGTGAGGGATGCGTTGCATATATACGGGTATCGGGACTGCGAAGGATGCATAGGGTCGAACGGGCGGACGTGGGACTTTGAGAATGATTTTTATGCGTGCCGGTATTGTTATGACTTGTTTCTTTGCGGGCCCTGTCTTGATGCGCTCAAGAAGGCGGATCCGAACAAGCCGCAGCCGTTTTGTAGTCCGGGGCATGACTGGGTTTGGTTGCCGAAGTGGACGGTGGAGAGCTGGATAGAGGGTTTTGAGGGGAAGGTGAGGGTGCCGAAGTGGGAAGAAGGGGAGAAGACGGGGGGTTGTTGGGTGGAGGGGGACGAGGTGGTTGCTTTTGGGAAGTGGTTGGAGGGGGTGTTGAAGCCGTGGGGGATTGGGAAGGAGTGGGAGGCTGAGGTGAAGTGGGATGTGGAGAGGGGGGAGGAGAGTTTTGTTGATGAGATGTTGTATGATGGGTTGCTTAAGGCTGGGCTTGAGGCGCAGGCCGAGGAGAAGGAAAAGGGGGAGAAGGAGGGCGGGGTGAGTGGGGAGAAGGTTGATGGGATAGCGAACGAGGGGAAGATGACGGTGGGGACGGTGATGATGGAGAAAGTGGCGGTTGAGAAGGTTGCTGTCCAGGAGGTTACTGAGAAGAGTTGACGATGGCAGGGGATTGCTGCGTAGTTGGGGTTGTAGCTTTTTTCCAGCTTTTGGATTATACCCTTCATATTTCGATTACCAGCTATAATGCGACATCTTCACATTGATGAATATGAACAGCAATTCTTTTGCTATATTACCATCAAACCAACTACGTTCTTGAACCTGGCTGATCCCTTCATCTTTTCCGCACCTTGAAACCATGCAAAAAACTCATTACGCATCCATAGCTTCAAGGAACCGAGTTTGAAGTCCAGCCTTGTCATCCCTCACTCTGGACAGTTATTGGATGACAGGGTGTCAGAGGGCATGAAGAAGTGCGAAAACTCCGGAAATCGCCGGCCCGCTGTCAATGAGCGAGTCTGTCAGCAAGGAAGAAAGCTTGGGTACCTTCCTGTTTAGGGGACAATATTCGAGATTAGGAGGGGATTGGGCTTTGGGGTTCATGATGGCCAATAGCTAGAATCTTTGCTGACCATGGGCTTTCTGACTGACACTTATTTTGAACATGGAGGAGTTCATGGTTGAACCACGTCATCATACCTGGGAGCAGCTTTTCGAGCGATGCGGGCGATTCACATATAGCAAGTTGGGTGATTACGGGGTGATGTTGGGTCAAGAGTGATGAGTTGGCGCGTAGGTTGCATATAACCGTGTTTTCTTTGGCGCCTGCTGGTCAATAGATACCACGACGGTGCACTGTGTCGACTGCTAGGTAGATAGACGGCCGGTTGGGAAAGATTCGCGGGCCGTTGGATGATGGATGGTGGCGGGCGCCGTTGGGTAGGTACCTCTCTGTTGAACGATGAGGCGGACGGATGCTACCCCTTTTTTTCTCTCACGCCTATGGGATGGAGAAACGACAGATTGTTCCGCGTCTGCATATGCAGGTATAGCTTGAGTGCTTGCAGATTTTCTATGACGTCTAACTTGGAACTATGGCATGTGCCTCGGAGGCTGTGATTCCCTTTTTTTGAGCATGCGTGATGTGGTGTGGAATCGAGGCGCTTGGACGCCGCTACCTTACGTACATGTGGCCGGGAGACTAACCCTGAAACAAACACCAGGTGTATGTAGAGCCTGGTGCTAGGTCGGGAGGTTGGTTATTCGGAACTGGACCGGAGGGGAGGGTGGTTGGGAAGATTTGAAGATGGTAGGGGAAACCGGAAGTTGGGTTGGTTACCAAGGGAAGATTGGGTAGTTGAGGGAGAAGAGCCGCACTGTATAACCTGCTGGGTCAGAAGAGGTGATGTTGGCGATAGAGGATGGGAGGTCGGAAGCTAGGTGGTCTTTTGCGCGCCGTGCCGCACCGTGAGATCGAGATTTCTTTGGGGATGTCGGTTTGACGAAGAGGCACCACGAAGATATGAGTTATCAGAAGAAGAAAGACGTAGAAGAAGCCTTACCTGTGCTTCCAGGTTGAGGTGGTGTAGGAGTTCAATGCTGTCTTGTACGGCAGGGGAATGTCCACGTTGTAGGGCTGTTTCCCGGGGATCCCCGGTTCCTGAATGACAGCGGGGGTGGCCCCTGAAAGCTTGGGTACCTAGCGGCGGGTAGCGGGTGGGTCAGTGCTTGGCAGTATCGTAGGTTTCCAACTTTTGAGATGTTGGTTTCTCTTCTGTCGATCTCCAAACTCAGAGGCCGTTTCTCGACGCTAGTTCTGGCTAGCATGGTGCTTCCCGACGGCCTTTTTGGCCTCACTATGGGCAGCGAAAAGCCAAGATGAAGTGGCGACTGGTAGGATTGCATCGTTCGTACAGGCTGACGGCGCTAACTGATTACATGTGCACTTCTGTGGGGCTCTGCTCGTCAGCTCCTCTTCCTGTGTGTTGATTCCTTCCTCCATCACATTGTCAACACACACAGAGAACCGCGGTGGCCTGGGGGCTGAAAATCTGGGGAGAGGCAAAGCCCTTTTGGCCTTTTTTTCTTGAAGAAGAGGAGACGAGGCGATTGGGGGCTTTCTCTGGTGTACTGAACTTGGTATCGCAAGCATGGTCGTACTTGACATACTACGTACGGACGTTAACTGGAACCAAATCCAACGTTGCGTGAGATGCCCTGGTCTTGATTGATGGGCATCCTGAAGAACCTGGAAGACAAGGGGGTTTGATAAAATGGACGAGGAGCGGCGCGGTTTGTGGTTTGTGGTTGTGGTGGTTGCTGACACACTTTCCCTTTTCGATCTTAATCTCAAGAGGACCCCCTTCCAAGGCTCTGCTTACGATTTACGCCTGTTTTTCACTCCTGGTTTGTTTCTTTTCCTTTTTTGAATTGCTATCGCCAATTACACTCGTTGAATTCTCTCGTTATTTTCTTGTCTTTATGTTTTAACGTGACTGGAATCGCCGGGCAGGAAATACCGCAGTGATCATGAAAGCCTCATCTTCGCCAAGACATCGAGTATAGGCGACCAAATACGGGCGATATCATTCAAAAGAGGGAAGAGGAGAAAAGGACACATCATGGATTCACGACGGCCACCGCTGGATCCTCGAGACGAACTGCTTCAAGGCCACGGCATCGAGCTCGCCGAACGTCCACAGTTCACTGAACATGACACCCAGCCCGGCCTTGAGGTTGCCACCCACTCCACGCTTGAAGTGGCTCCAGGCACTGGGCCAGTTCCAATCGGTTCGCCTGTCACAGGCTTTGAGGATCTCAAGACATGGGAGAAGGTAGGAAACCTATCATTGGGATACGGCAAGGTGTTCGACAGTACCAACAGCCCGCCGCCACCGCCAATACCAAACTATGGTTTTGGGGGACCACCGCCGATACCCGGGACGGAGATGGTGACACCGGGGATGCATAGGCCGAGTAGGCCCGGAACAGCATACAGCAGTACGACTTCAAGAGGAGGGCCGAATGGGAGGGGCCAAGGCAGTGTTGATTCGGGCAACCCGTTTGTCGCCGGGCCATCGCTGCCACCTTTGCCAGGCGAGGGACTCGACGGAAGAAGGAAAAGAGAGATGATATGCGGAGTCAAACGACAGTCATTTTGGATTATCCTTGCGACTGGGATATTTCTCGCCGTGATAGCGATAGCAGCCGGTGTTGGTGTAGGAGTCTCGTTGGGAAACAAGAACTCCAAGGAAGCGTAAGTTTTCTCCTCCATCCTCGTTTTGTGCTGCATCAAATTAATCTTTCCTAGACAACCACCAACACCATCACAATCTACCTCACCATCAACACCCGTTCGAACCCTCCCAGTACCCCTTTTCAACGCCTCCACCGTCACGAACCCCGAGTCTACCAACAAGAGCGAGCTAATCCCCGCCGACATATCGTGCCCTGTTCAGAACCTCACTCTCTATTCTTCGCCTATGACCCCGTCAAATGATCGGAAATTTCTACTGTTTTGTGGGAGGGATTACAATGTTGTTAATGGGGCGACGGATATGTATGATGTGAGAGTTGATACCATGGCGGAGTGTATAGATTCGTGTGCCAAACAGGAAGGGTGCGTCGGTTCCGGATGGGGGGAGCAGGGGGGGAAACATGTCTGCTATCTGAAGAGTCGGTTGGGGGAGCCGAATTTGGCGGGACATTGGATGTTTGCGGTGGAGGATACGGAGTTTAATGGGGGAGGGGACTTGCCTTTGCCTGGTGGGACATGAGAAGATGCGATCTTTTCTATTTTGTTATTTTTCTGGATACCTCGGGAGATGGGGCGTTTGAGTAGTTTCAGGGATGAAGGAAAACAAGGCTCGAGGGAGGTCGTGGTGTCTAGTGTTTACTCTCTTGCGGGTTGCCTGTGGTCAAATGGATTGGATCGATGGGTGATGGGGTATGTTCAGGATACTATGACATATGAATTGATACCTTTCAAACTTCTTTTTGTATACTGTTAGGGGTGGTGACAGATAGTAAACCGAGGTGGTCAGGATTGTGGAGTTCTAGGCCCGTCACCAACACCGACGTCATAGGGCATTTTGATAGGACATCAAAAGTCTAGACTCAGCAACGCCATCCCAACTGTCACACCGCCCAGAATCCATTGGCAAGCTCATGCAACGATACGACCCCGTATTTGGTTCCTTGGAAGCATCCATTGGACAAGCTCCATCCAAGATCAAACACGCTGTCTCGTCGCGCAAGTGGAGGGGCAGCTCCTGAAGCAAAGCAGCAAGAGTGGAGTGCGGGGTTCCCATGGTTGGCTTGCTTAACTTGCTCCAGGCAGGCGACACACTCCACTGCGATCCAGCACTGCCGTCCTCGACTTGACACTCATCCAGAGCTTCCGGTTGACTTTGAATCTTTTCCATTTCCCTCTCCTCTTCGACTTGATTGTCCTACACACTCTCTCTCCATTAACCGCACATATCACCCCGCGAACAACCAACATGGCAACCACCGAACTCGACCGCGACCCCTCCAAAGCCATCACCGCCATCCGCGACGCCCGCCCTCCCGCCACCGACCGCTTCACCTATCTCACCATCGTCGAGTCGAACCTCTCCCCAGAGGTCCTCCCAACCCTCAACGAAGTCCTTCAAGATGCTGGTCTCACGCAAGAAATCGGCTGGGACCTGGTATACAACCTCGTCTCCCTCCCCGGCTCGTCATCATGCCTCGAGACGATCGCGCGCCTTGGCAACCCCCGAGAGGTCATCCTCAAGGTTCTCGAAACACTCGAACTCCTAGGCGAAGAGGAGGGCTACGAAGCAGATGATGAAGCTGAAACCACAAAGGAGAAGAAGGAGGGCGGTGTGACAAAAACAGAGAAATTCATCACCCTAATGGGGATGCTGGCGATCCTACACGGAAGAATCAAGACGAAGTATCCCTCTCGCTTCCTGGCGCAGACGCTGCAGACGGTGCTGGGGGCTTATGAGGCGGGGAGTGAAGAGATGACGGCTGCGGTGATCAATTTGGTGCATAGTCTGAGTGGGAAGAGGGCGAGGCCGCCGTTGCCGAGCAGGAAGTCGAGTGTGAATGTGGCCAACTTGGACGCTCGGGGGGATAGGGGGAAGAATGCGCCTGATCCGGAGGCGGATGATGGGAAGGAGGGCGAGGCAAAGACGGAGGATCCGGATGAGATGGAGCTGCAGCAGAAGCTGTTGTTGAGTTTTGCCACGTGCGTGTTGGAGAGGTACGCGAATGGGAATGACTTGGCGTGGGCGGGGAGGCTGGTTGAGTTTTATGAGCCGGAGAGGACTGTGCCGGGGAGGAGGACGTTGATGGGGGCTTTTAGGGAGGAGGAGGGGTTGTTGGCTAAGGATGGGATTGTGGGGAATTTGGTGGTATGTTTCTGTTCCTTGAAGATGTTGACTGACCCGAGAGCTGACATGATATCTAGGCGCTGATTGGGGATCTTGGACTGAGGTCATGCTCCAGGACGTTCTTGAAGCATGTGTGTGAAGGACCTTTACATGAGAATCCGCTGGCTGGCTCAGAGGACTTTGAGTCAGCAAGCCAGGTCAAGCTTTCTACAGGAGGAGCTGTTTGTCTCGTGGCCTACTGGGTCTTCTCGTCGACAATCTTTGACGCCGACCACCCACAGCCAGAGATGAACATCTTCCCAGACCACTATGCCGTCCTGGACAAATTCCTTCAAGATGATGCGCATGCCCAGATTCAACAGTCGCCAGGCACAGTAGAGGCCCTTGTCACAATCGGCCTCTGGCTGCATGCGAACAAGTTTGTCTCGGCGAACCCCAACACCCCGCTCACAAATCCTACAACATCTCCAGAAGATCCTACCTCGGATTTTATGCGGTATATTCACCTCGTCACGCTCATCGCGCTATTTCATCCCAAGCTTCACGTTCGCAACGCAGCCAGCACACTGGCTGGGCAGGTACTCCATTCTGATCCATCAGATGATGACCGCTTGAAGGTCTTGTACGATTTGTTGGAGAATTGCACATTTGCCTCGCTCAAAGCGAGAGCGATCACCTGGCTGAGAGAGGAATTGATCGCAGCGTCCACGGCAAAGCTTCACCAAGCAACCGCTTTTTCAACACCGCAGGCTCTGGAAACGGTGCAATATGTGGTCTTTCCAAACCTGGACTTTTTGGTGGAGGATACCAATCTGGAGGAAGTGGTCGAGTATCTGGTGACCAACGCACCATTCCTCATGCAGGCGGTGAACTTGGGATTATTCCTCTGGTCCAGTCCAGAGAAATGGAAGGCCGTGCTGCCGGCGAACATGGATGCGACGGTCAGGCAGCGCTGGTTTGAGCCGCTGCTAGAGAGCATCGAGAGGGTTCAAAAGGAGAGCAAGAGTTCTGATGTAGAGTTGGGGCCGTTGGAGGGTGAACTGGCCGTGTTGAAGGGGAGGTTGGAGGATCTTGCTGCGAAGGAGGGATTCACTGGTGGGAAGGGTGTATGAGCATACTGTCGTTGACTGAGTATCTATCATCGGGTTGGGCACATATTGACGATTGTGAGATGAACTAGGTGGCGCAAACGGGAGCGACGGTAATAATGTGGGGGACGAGGGATAAGAGACATATGATGAACTGGTTCTGTAGGAGATATTGCTACTTGTGAATACTAAACGGATTGTTCCGGGTGATGGTGTCGATGAAGAAGACTTGTTAGGACAGGGAGATCGAAACACTTGGGTCGACATCTTGACCCTGAGCTTGGCCAAAATCAAGATCAAGAAGGAGCATTCATCTCGGCAACGTTCATTGCGGCCCCTGAGCAAGTTCAGGAGCATTTCCTCCAGGGGGCTGGGTTGAGAGTGGGGCAAGGGTGGCACAGACACCCGGGCCGTGGCTCCAATCGCTAGCGCCGAGCCACAGCGAACCAAAAAGCCCTTCCCTGCAGGTAAACCGTTATGATGTCATTGTTGTAAGTGCTCCCGTTCTCGTACAGACTGCGATTATACATACACAATGGAGCAATTCCTGTTGGTTGCTCGATTGCGAGGGAGAATATCTTGCAGCGAAGAACCTAATACCTAGAATAAAAGGCCGAGTTCGTCCGAGCGGCTGTTTTAAAAAAAAGCGTTGACACCAGTGACACCACACCCAGCACCATCGAGGGGCAACGACACGCGCCAAACACTTACAGCTACACAACGGCGACTCTGTCTGTGTCAGGAACACGCGTTGCCGGGCGAGCATTTGTGACCTTGCCGTTTCCCTCCTTGGCTGATGCTTTTATTTTCTTTCAGTTTGCAATAACAAAACACCAAAACCACCTCTGCGGATTTGATCGGCTTTTTGATCTGAGCGGTCGGCGCTCTCTCTCTTGCACATCAACTAGCAAATCCAACTGCACGTACCTCGACAACACGGACGTCGACGACACGACTCTCCACCATGACGGGAGACTTTGAGTCCCCGAGCCCAGGAGGTCATCTGCCCAACGAGGCCGAGACCAAAGATGGAAACCTCAGGCTAGTTACCGAAACCCAAAACGGCCAGCAGGTTACTGTTGTCCGTGATGCCGATAACCACATTGTGTATCCCACCTACGTCCCACCTGCAACTCGCTCTCCCGTGTCAGGAGATTCGCCTTCTACATCGCCCTCACCAAAGACTACCACCATGTCCGAACCGAATCAAGATAGGGAAAAGGGGGGGCAGCGGGAGGCAAAAGGGAAGCAGCAAGAGGAGGAACCAAAAGTCGAACAACCTCGCAAGGTCCAGACAGAACCAACAGACAGAACAGCCTCCCCTCGCCCCCAAGCTCGAAACTGGGCCACCGAATTCCCCCAACCCGACAAAACCTTCACCATGCCTGCTCCCCCTCGTCGAGCCGGCACAAATCTTTCGGCGATTCCCCCTGGAGTAGACTATTCTAGCAGCAGCGACTCCTCTTCTTCTTCTTCCGACGACGAAGAAGACTACCATACCCAGCCTTCCAGCAAAAAGAAGCACAAGAAGAAATCCAAGAAACCAACCCCCGAGGAAGAAGAAGACCGATACCGCCGCTTCAAGATCGGAAACCCTCACTACAAAACCCGCGGCAAGGTCTCCAAGCGCGACGGCCGGCTGAGCATTTCTGTCAAGGACACCTCCCAGACGGGGTATCTAGCCAAAGCTCTCGGGACAGCAGCAAAGCACATGGTGCCACTGAAGCCGCCCCCGGGCGGTTCAGACTCTGAATCCTCCAAGTCGGTCGCCGCCCACTTCAAGGGGGTTCCCACCCAGAAACGGACCGCTTCCACGATCGATATCAAGTCGCTCAAACCACCCAAACTCAACATCGTGATCATGGTCATTGGCTCCCGGGGTGACGCACAACCGTTTCTCAAGATTGGGAAGATCCTCAAGGAGAAGTACGGACACCGCGTCCGTATTGCCACCCACCCCGCCTTTAGGGACTTTGTCGAGCAGGACTCTGGACTGGAGTTTTTTTCTGTCGGGGGGGACCCGTCTGAGCTGATGAGCTTCATGGTGAAGAACCCGGGCATGATTCCGACCTTGTCGTCGGTCAAGGCGGGGGACATACAGAAGCGGCGGGCGGCCATGGCGGAGATGTTTCAGGGGTTTTGGAGGGCGTGCATCAACGCCACCGACGACGAGCACGACGTGAGGAACATCAAGATGATGGGCAGGCGGGACCCGTTCGTGGCGGATGCGATCATTGCGAACCCGCCGAGCTTTGCGCACATTCACTGCGCCGAGGCGCTGGGGATTCCGTTGCACTTGATGTTTACTTTTCCTTATACCCCGACGCAGGCGTTCCCGCATCCGCTGGCGAGCATTAAGAGGAGCAATGTGGAGGAGGGGTATACGAACTTTATCAGTTACCCCGTTGGTGGAGATGATGGTGGTGGCAGGGTTTGGGGGACTTGGTGAATGAGTTTAGGGTTGGGACGCTGGGGCTGGATCCGGTGAGCACGCTCTGGGCTCCCGGGGCGACGTATCGGTTGCATGTGCCGTTTACGTATCTTTGGAGTCCGGGGTTGGTGCCGAAGCCGGGGGATTGGGGGGAGGAGGTGGAGGTGGCGGGGTTTGTGTTTTTGGAGCTGGCGGATAGTTTTAAGCCGCCGGGGGAGCTCGAGAGGTTTTTGGGGAGGAGCGATCAGGGTGGTGGGGAGGGGGAGGAGAGGGAGGATGAGAAGCCGGTGGTGTATATTGGGTTTGGGAGCATTGTTGTGGATGACCCGGAGAGGTTCACCGAGATGATCTTTGAGGCGGTGGAGTTGGCGGGTGTGAGGGCGTTGGTTAGTAAGGGGTGGGGAGGGCTGGGGGGGGACAAGTTGGATGTTCCCGAGGATGTGTATATGCTTGATAATACGCCTCATGACTGGCTGTTCCCTAGGGTGAAGGCGTGTGTCATCCATGGAGGGGCGGGGACGACGGCGATCGCGTTGAAGTGTGGGAAGCCGACGATGATTGTGCCGTTTTTTGGGGATCAGCATTTTTGGGGGAGCATGGTTGGCAATGCGGGGGCTGGGCCGGAGGCGGTGCCGTATAAGGAGCTGACAGCGGAGAAGTTGGCGGAGGGGATCAAGTTTTGTTTGAGGGATGAGGCTAGGGAGGCGGCGGAGAAGATTGCGAGGGATATTGAACGGGAGGGGGACGGGGCGGAGAATACTTGTGAGGCCTTTCATAAGGGGTTGTTGATTCAGAGAGAGGTGAAGGGAGGGGGGAGGAGCTCGATGAGGTGTTCGATTCTGCCGGATCAGGTGGCGGTTTGGCGGATGAAGGAGACGGGGTTGAGGTTGAGCCCTATTGCGGCGGAGATGTTGGTGGAGAGGGGGCTGGTGAGCTGGAAGAAGCTGAGGTTGTTGAGACATAACGAGTGGAATGATTTTGAGGGGCCGGGGGAGCCGATGACGGGTGTGGCGGGGTCGATTATGGGGACGGTTGGGAATGTTTTTGGGGGGATTGGGGGGGTGCCGTATCGGGTTGCGAAGAGTGCTAAGAAGCGGAAGGATAAGGAGAAGGGGAAGAGGAAGAAGAGGAAGGATGACAAGAGGCAGCAGCAGCAGCAGCAGCAGAACGGGAATGACGAGGGGGATGGGGAAGAGCCACCTCAAGTTGAGACTGCTACTACTCATGCCATTGACGACCGGAGATCGGACTCTTCTTCTGTACGCTCCAACCCGGCAGAGGAAGTAGCTCATCATGTCGGTCGTGGCGCCCTCAAATCGGCCTCCGCCATCGCCAAAGCCCCTGTCGACCTCAGCTTGGCCCTCGCTCAAGGCTTCCATAACGCCCCTAGACTTTATGGAGACGACACCGTCCGGCGACCCATCCGTGTTACTGGGATGAAATCAGGTCTCAAAGCAGCCAGAAATGAATTCGCGTACGGCATCTACGACGGCGTCACGGGCGTCGTTCGCCTCCCCTACCGCGGAGCAAAAGAAGGTGGCCTTGGTGGGTTTGCAAGGGGCGTGGGTATGGGACTTACGGGGTTTGTGCTCAAGGACCTGGCTGCTGTCATTGGGCCGGTTGGGTACACGCTCAAGGGAGTGGTCAAGCAAGCTGAACGGGGGAAGCAGCCGATCAAGTACATCAGGCGGGCGAGGATTGTTCAGGGTGAACGAGACACGGAGGCGTTGAGCGAGGAAGAAAAGGCGAGGTTGAGCAAGGAGGCGCTGAAGGGGTGGTCGGTGATGTGGAAGTTGTGGGACGAGATGGTCAAGCAGGAGAAGAAGAAGCGGGGGAGGAGCATCAAGGCTAAGCTTGGAGGGAAGGCGAGGAGGCGCCGAAAGAGAAAGGAATGGGACGTGGTGTTTGAGAGTGTGGAGGTTGCGGAGAAGGCGTTGGAGGCGCTGAGGAAGGGGGAGGATATGGATGTTGTTTTGGAGCGGGTGGAGAAGGAGAGGAGGGCGGGTCATAGTCCTGTTGCGGTTGAAAATGGGCAGTCGAACATGTTGGAGAGTACGGAGAATAAGGACTTTGCGGGGGTTGGGAAAAGGGAGGCGGATGCTGAGACTGCTAGCACGAAGGTTCCTAGTCCGTTGGAGATGAATGGGGTGGGTAGCGGGAGCAAGGTTGATGGGGGAGGTGGTGATGGGTGAGGAAAAGAAGGAGGAGGTGAAGGAGGAGGATATGAAGGAGAATCCGTTTTCGGTGGCCACGCCGGCGATTGCGAAGAATAAGGAGGAGAATAGGATGACGATGGAGGCTATTGAGGTTAGGGCTTAGGGGCCGCTTTGAGGCCACTGGAGTTGTTTGCGGTGCGCTGCTTTTGTTTTGGCTGCGGTGCGTTGGGAGTTTTGGAAAGGCAGAGGTTGAAATAAGCAATATGAGGATACCCCGTTTTCTTTTTTGTAGTGATAAGTGGAGAGATATAGCTGGTGGACAAAGTAATACCTAATTCTACATTCGAGTCCTATGAGAATGATTGCAATATTGTGATGAAGTAGTTAGTTCCTGGTGTTGGGTTTGATGGCCAAAGATCATGGAATCTCTCTTGGTGCTCGATAAATCAACATAGGAAACATCATTACAACCAGCACATTGAACCAGCCCGAAGTAACCTCAATGCTAAACAAATCTCAGTGCTATGGATGCCCTCCCACCACTACTCCTTCTCGCTCTCCAACACAGCCTTAATCATGGCCTGCCCTACCTCCACGGCCCCCTTGAATCTCGGCTCAAAGAACTTTTGCGTCACGGCGAACCTCTCCCTCCAAGTGTCAAACTGCCTCAGACTGACACACTCTGCCCAACCGGCCGCGGCAATCGCAAACTGCAAATCGTCCCTCCTGAAGCTCTTGTCTTCAATCCCCACCCGCAAACACTCATCCAGCAACCCTGGGGTCCTGAACAGATGCTCCGCCACGCCCAGCCAAAGCCGAAAGAGAGGCGTCGAGCAAATCATGTGGTCGTAGGGCACGATCCCCAGCGCAGACCAGCAGTCGACCATGGCCAGCAGACTAAGGTGATTATTCGGCAGCCCCCTCCCCCCTCCCTTTTCCCCAGAAGGTTTATTAAGTGAAAACCGATCAAGAAGCTCCTCCTTTAGCAGCGGCCTCTCCGCCCACTTGGGGCTCCCCTCGGCGCCAAAGACTTTTTCTTTGGCTTTGTACACCCTCTCACGCAACTCATCGGATCTGCCCTCAAGCATGAGGTAAAACAACTCAGTACTCGACCGGGCAAACTGCCCAATCTGCTTGTGCGCCTCTGGGTTGAGGATCGCCAAGCCGGCGTAGACGTGCCACTTTTGGGCGTAGATCCTCAGCATGAGGTTGATTTTCACGTTTTCGATCCCGCCGATGTAGCGAGATCCTTCCTCCCAGGGGAACTGGCGGTTGGCGTGCCAGGCTTTGCCCATGGAGAGGAAGGCGGCGTGGGTGACGGCTTGGGTGTCGGCCGTGATGCGGTCGTGCTCTTTGGCTGTGAGGTAGACGTGTGTGGAGTTGAGGCATGACAAGACAGATTCGACTTTCTGGAAAGATTCGTCAGAGGCGCGGTGTTTGATCAGGACTAAAGGTTGCCCGCGGGGGTCGACGTTGGGGCCGTGGAGGGAATGACAAGAAACGATGTCGACGTCGGATGGGAGGTAGGACTCAAAGGCTTTGATCTCAGGGTCTTTGCAGGAGGTTTGGCCTCCGACTATGGCGCCTAGACGGGTTGCTATAGAGCACAAAATATGTAAGGAACTGGATGGGACAGTACGATCATGATGATGAAGATGATGGATGGGACACACATGGGCCGAACTGTTCGACTACACGACCAATGGCGGCCGCCTCGACGCTGTAGATGATATAATTGCTCGCTCGCGAAACAAGGTGGCCGTTGCGGAGAATTTGAATATTGGTCTATAGACACAAACATCTCAGCAACTGGCTAACAGCAGCCAAGGTTAGAAAGATTGGAAAATCACATCGTACATTGTCTGCAAATTCCTTGGCAAGCTCTTCAAATTTTTCTTCTCTATCGCAGGCCATGACTCTAAAAAGAAACAAAAGAAAAAGAACCCAACGATTAGCCAACCATATCCGACCAAAGTTCTGAATTGGAACGTGGAAACTGGAAGAAATCTGAGTCAATGTTAGCGGGGAATCCCACAAAAATCGACAGTGATAAAAAGGTTGAGTGAAGGTAATACGGTCAGACGAAAAAAATTAGGTAGCTGAGATTTTTCATCATGGAAAGTCCGCAGTAACCACCGGGCCCAGAATGGGTGACCGACAACACCACGAACGATACTCTAGCCAAATGCACTCAAGTCATCATTGTATTGGGGGGAGGGGAGATTGTGCTGGTGTCAAAAAGAAGGAAGGACACGTACCATTTGGGGAAGAGCTAAAGTCGCTCAATGATGGTTAGTCGAAGAAAGTCGAGAGAACAAGCATTACCTCCATCCAGCGTTGGCCAGTCGGCGGGCATACATCCTGCCCATGTCGCCCATGCCAATGAGGCCGATGGTGAAGTCTTTCGACCACGCGAACTCGGATGCCGTCGCCATTGTTGTTTCTCTTCCGAGCGAAAACGGTATTGCAAAGCAAGGGATACTCCTCGATGGCAAAGATCACATCCTCAGCAGGGCAACTGCGCAGAACTCCCAGCTTGTCTCTCAAAGCGGGGAAGAAAGTGTGCAAAGAATGCGAAGCTGGCTCGGCTGCTGTTGCTATTGTTGCGAGTTGAAGAGAAGTGAAAGAAAATTTCTGACTGGAACTGAAATTTAAGCTTGCTCAAGGTGGGGCTCCCACCGTGCCCGCGACGCCCCACGGCCCCACTTGGATCTGGCAGACAGTGCACACTGTGGAGCGCACATGACAAGACCTTGGTCATCAGGGTTAAGCTTCCCGAGACATCACCACTTACACTCACCTTATCAACCAACAACCTCACTCAAATGACCACCCTCCTATCATTCGGCTCCAACGGCTCAGGCCAACTGGGCCTCTCCCACCAAGAAGACGTCTCCTCCCCCTCCCTCGTCTTCACCCCCCACCCCTCAACCCTCCCCAGCTCAGTCGCCCAAATAGCCGCAGGAGGGAACCACACCCTCCTCCTCCTCACCAACAACCAAGTCCTCTACTCAGGCGACTCTCACAACAACAACAAAATCACCCCAACCTTCACCCCTCCACCCCTTCCAACACCTCCCCCAACCCCAATAAGATCCATCTCAGCAACCTGGTCCGCCTCCCACATAGCCACCCCCTCCCAGATATGGGTCCACGGCCACGGAACAAAAGGTGAACTTGCCCTCGGCTCCGGCATCACCTCGGCCACCTCCTTCCAACCCATCCCCAACTTTCCACCCTCAAACACAATAATCGTCTCTATATCGGCCAGCATGTCCCACGCCGTTGCTGTCCTGAACAACGGCCAAGTCTACGGTTGGGGCGCAGGTCGTAAAGGCCAGCTAGGTCCTGAACCATCACCCGCGGTGTCTTCACCAAGGTTAGTATCATGTCCTTTCCCTGTGGTGAAAGCCCTTTGCGGGAAGGAATTCACCCTCCTGCTTGGCCCTCCCCGAACAGGAGAGTTTCTGGTATTAGGGTCAGATAAATTCGGGATTAAATCCAACGCCCCCTCAGATCTAAAAGGTTGGAAGGACGCTGGTGCTAGCTGGGGGAGCGTCATCCTGCTAAAAGAGGACGGATCCCTCATCAGCTGGGGAAGGGATGACCACCAGCAACTTGCCCCATCGGACATTGGGCCAGTGGAAAAGATTGCTGTTGGGAGTGAGCATGCCCTGGCATTGACAAGAGACGGCAAAGTCCTGGCTTGGGGCTGGGGAGAACATGGCAACTGTGGATCACTTGAGGAGAACAACAAGGAGAGGGCGAATGTCATTCAAATCCCGGATGAATACAACTTGGAGGATCAGGAGGTTACAGCTCTAGGGGCAGGGTGCGCCACGAGTTGGATTGCCTTTGAGAAAAGGAGGTAAATAGCAAAGATGCGAGATATGGTATCAGTGATGAGAACAACCGCCAAACACTGCCGAACGCCGAGATGCAAATGCTGTCATTAATCGGTGAACAAGCCGAACCCACGGACCTAAGGTTATCGTCAGTTGAGTCCGCATGAGGAGGAGGGGAATTGAGCATACCTGTGAAAGGCGCTGGGTTGGATCGAGTCCTGACACCAAACGATCAGACGGAGTGTCCTCTGTGCTGGTGGAGGATTTCTGCAGGTAACTACTAATACGCAGAGTGGATATATTCTGTGACAAGAGAGTCAGTAGGTCCCCTCGAATGGTAAGATGTCATCGTGTGTAGCAACGAACCGGATCACTGGTAGAGTTCCACTCCAACCTGGCATTCTCCTCCTCTTCCTCGTCCTCGTCAGGATTGATAGGCTCCCACTGCCGGTCATCGTCCAGCTCATGGGGCGCCGGTCCCATAAACAGGGAGTCCTCCGACTGTGCCGTCCCCGGGGGTGGCTGCTGTGGCGGGCGGAGGTGAAATGCCGGTGGAGGGCGAGGCCTCGACGATGTTGGATTTTGTGGCTGTTGTGGCGGTTGGGCCACGGTTTGCGGGGTTGGATCTGGCAGAGCTTGCTGGCGGACACTATTGGACATTGAACTAGCTCTGTGTGATGCCGCGTCAAGCTCTGGCCTGGGAGTCTTTGCAGAGGCATTTGGCCGGGCGGTCTTTTGCCTTGGTTCTCTGGCATCTTTCTCGCCAACAGTCATCAAGATAAACTCGCACAGGATGCCATCAGCTGCGTAGTATAACTTCATGGGACGGCCTGGGTTGCTGTAGCTTGTGGCTAGCTCCCCGCTGGTAATCTGAGCATGCTGGAGGATGGCGCGAAAGTCCTTGACGCTGATAATGATGTGGAGTTTGTCCTCGACCTGGACATTGTCGAACTCGTCCATCTCGACCGCGATGTTGGTGTGAAGGGGCTTTTTGAGGACGGTCTCGCTGTTAGCGCCGCCCCGTTTCTGGACCTTTTCGGTGAAGCATGTAAAGTTGACGAGGTTGCTGTCCTCATCTGTGTTGATGTCGAGGAGCTCAATGCCTGGTCCGAAATGGTCCATGAGCTGGCGAAGTGTTTTGGAAGAGATGGCCCATTGGTTTCTTGCCTCTTGCTTGTTGAACTTTGCGTGGGTGGGTGCTTTGACTTCGTATGGGAGAATATGCGAGGCAGTGATCCCGTTCCTAAAAGAAACCCTAGCAACAAGACGGCTTTTCTTGCCAACGCCATCGTCAATGGCTACGTCGCAGCGTTCAATGGAGGCGTCTCTCCCGTAGGCAGTCTCGCCGCCACCCTGCCGCGTTCTAAAGATAGCGAGTAGGGACTTGATGTAGAGCTGGCATGAGAACTTCTCGCGGTACTGGGGGCTTCCCTCGAATGTGTACCCGGAGAAGAAGCGGGTTGCGGCGAAGGAATAGCAAACATAAGCCGATTTGGAGATGTTCAGCGTTGTTAACATAAGCTGCAGGCAAACCTGTTAATGCAACCCCTCGTCTTCCAAGCAGGCAGAACACCAAACCTTTTCCTTCCTGGCCTCGAGACAGACCTCGTCACTGAACTTGAACATGCATGACAATGAATCGTGGAGCACGGCCACGCCATCTTCACTCAGAGTGAAGTTGAGCACCACCATCTTGCCTTTGAGGTGTTGAGGATGATGAAGACTGAATAAAGTTGGTGGACAAGCTCCAAGACAGGCAGTGATGTGCGATTGGTGGGGTTACCTAAACAATTCTCACTAAAGGAAGGCGCCAGTTAGCGCAAAAGTCCCTGAAAGTTAGTGCTCGAGGCACGTGTCCCGCGACGCGTTCTCGACATGGTGCCTTCAGCCTCATCAGTTCCAACTACTTTCAAAACTCATTGTTCAACCCCAGACTCAATGGTGACCACGATGCCACCTAGGCTAGTCTTCCCTCGGGACATCTGGTTGATGGTGGTCGAGGAACTGGCGGCAGACTGTGATTTTGGGACGCTTTATACTTGTGCTCGTATCGATCGAGGTCTGGCACGGTTGGCTCTGCCTCTATTGTACAGTATACACGACCAATCACCCGTCTTCCACCAAGTTGCGGGCAGCGAAGCCTCCGTTTGTCGATGGAGGTCCCGCATCGCATCAAGTCCCGACGAACCTCGCTAACCCTATTGTTGCTGGATCATGTCTTTCGAGCTCGGCCATCTTCACTACGTCCTTGATGATTTTTCACGAAACAACGCGGCCCTCAAAGCTCGATTCTTTCAAGGTCCAATCGTAAGGGGAAGAAACGGAATCTTGACAAAGTCGTGATTGTGGCTGCCAACTCGATCATACGCTACATCCGGGCCGCTGCCAAGCAGGCTGATAAGCTGGTGCAACTCACAACTCTTGATGGTTACTATTCCCCCGCAGCCAGCCTAATGAAATGGGTATCATCGCTGTCAAGCCTCACCTCCCTCTTCGTCGAGGATGGCTCTATACTCACAGCCGATGTGGCAAAGGCTCTTCGCCAGAAGTGCCCGTCTTTCAACTACCTGTAAGCTAATCGCTGTCTTGAAGCTTTCATCAGCGGTGCTGAGTTAACTTCTGTTACAAAAAGACAATATCACTGCTGCGAAGGTCCCGAGGCCGATCAACAGCTCGCCGAATTTTTGCGAGATCTCAAGCCACAGTCACTGCAAACCTTCGTCATTCGTAGCCGGAACGAAGTAGGAAACGAGACTTTCATGGCTTTGCAACAACACTCAAGTTCACTCCAAAAACTTTGCCTCATGCGCCTCAACCCCACCGCGTTGAGGTCTCTTCACCAGCTTCGGCATTCCCTCGCAATCACGACGTTGGCCATCGAAGGGAACGACATGGTGGAAGGGTTTGGCTGGCTAGACTATGATAACCCGGCCGACTTTGAGGAAGTGGCGGAGTGGCTTTCAAAGTGTGCTTCACTCCGCGAGCTTTTGCTGGCTCGCGGGTCAAACGCAACGGGCCTTCTCCTCAAGATCGAGAATAATCTCGGCATGATCGAGGACGACTCTCCTGTCATGGAATTGACAAGCTTGAACCTCGACCTCACTGAGCTCAATAATCGGACTTTTGGTATTTCATCGGAAACCAACCATCCCTTGAAAATCTAACCATGAGGATCGAGGATAACCTATTTGCGTCGCCTGATGAATTTTACACGGAACTTGCCCCTCTGCTCGGAAAGCTCGAGAAGCTCAAAACGCTAAACACCAACGCGACATTCACGATGCGGGATGTTGCCATAAGCATCGCGTCCCTGGAGCATCTCAAGGGCTGTATTTGAATGGCGACCTGATTACCGACGAGTATCTTGCTCACCTCATCCGGCTTAAGAAGCTCCGGTCGTTGACGATCCTCGGCCCTTCCCGCTTGACAATGGATGGCTTCTTTCAGTTTCTGGACGTCTTGATCAGTCATCTGAGCGATTATGGCAACCCCCGCAAGGGCCTCCGAATAGCAATACAATCTCAAAAGTTAGATGCGCATCTTGACAAAGGCGAGGTGGAGTGGATATCAAAGTCTATGAAACGGGACTTCGGAGGGACTTTTGATATCACGTACGACACTGGCGGGGATGAGATGGACGGAGGATGACTATTCGTACTACTGAGTTTTGGGGTTTCTGGGACAGAGGTCAGGGGCAGGTTTGGATAAGGCGGTTGAAAGAGATTCGCATAGAATAAAGGGCATAATTGATTTTTGAGGTGGTTATGGGGTCTAATACGGCGGGTAATGTCCAGGAATAGACAGCAATTTAGTTATTACTGCAGCATACAAAATGATGTATTTTGACGCGCCTCAAAAGACGAACCTAGAAAAGACCATCACAGAGACAGGAACAGGGAATGTGCCACATCGAGATCTTATCTTATCAGCAATACCTTTTCGAAGGCCCACTCCTAAAGCTCAGACCACCCGCAGCCCACGCCCCACTCTCCCACTCCTACAAAAACTCTGCCAGCCAATTCTTCCCTCTCCGAAACTTTTCCTGAACAACAAACACAAACCAACAATCACCAATTTCAGCAAGCAATCCCGCCAGCCCACTCGCCATTCGCGACTCGATTTTTCCTCTCGGGCTTTCGTTCATATCACGAAGGACGGGCTCGGCTCCAATTGCTCTCTTCTTGTTTTCCCCCTCAAGCAAGAGAGGGAACGCAGTTGCCTTGCGTTCTTGCACACCACCTTGAGGCTTTCTTTTTGGTTGCTTGATTTCCCCAGCAAGCTTTTTCACATCCCCATAACCCCCCTACACATATACACATGAGAAAAGACGGAAAGACGAACACCACGATTTGCCTACCTGTGTGCCCTTTAATCAATGCACACCAGGTTAACTAGTTTTTTATCGTTCGCAGTGGAAGAGAAAACCAACGGCCTAGACAGCCAGTCCTATCCACCCTGCTGCCGAGGTTACTTGAAGTGCGTCAGCGGGACTAAAACGGACAAACATTTTGATGTGATATGAAGATTGTTTTTGATGATTTGTTTTGTGTGTGTCATTTTGCCAATCAAACATGGAGAAAAGAGAAATATCTATGATTTGCCTGCCCAAAATGCCATCCATGCTCCCATGCTGTCATGAGGAGGATGGGTACTTGTGCCATATGTTCATGTATCCTTCATAATGGCGTAAAGCCATAAACTCAAACCTCCTTGCGCCTGAAAATACCATCACTTGCTGGAAGATTGCAACAGCAGTCCTGCTGGCTGTTGGTGTTCTTCTGGCAGCAGTATCATCACATGCTTGCCGTCTCCATCATCACTTCATGGACCATCTCACGGGCTCTCCCCGATGATATACTTTTCCTGCTGGAAGCTCAACAAGAACTTGGCCACCAGCCTCCCCGTGTAGTTGAACCCGACGTCCCTTGGATAGGGGTGTTCCTCCACGTTTGGCAGGATCGGATCAGCCGTCAAAAAGTCAAGTTCGCTCCCTATTTCCCCACCTTTAGCATCATCCCATCATCATTTTTTAAGGAAAACGAAAAAAAAAAGAAAAAGAAAAAGAAGAAGAAAAAAACTCACAAGCATCATAATCCTCCAAGCTCATCAACCTCCTCAACCCCCTCACCATCTCCTCCTCCTCCCTCCCCAGCAATTTATCCTCCACCTTGTTCGCCTCGTCCACCCACCCCTCCTCGAGCGGGTTAAAGCTCCTCTGGCTGACCTCCCTCGAGTAAGTCTGATACACCATGTGAAACATGATGCCAAACTGCCTGAAAGGTAACTGCTCAATCTCCCTGTTCACCCCCAGTGCGAAACCCCTCTTCAGCGTTGGCCTCTCCCCGTTTCGTAGAGAGATCTCATTGTCAGAAATGACAAAATTATCTGCTGCCGTCTCGACACTTTCCATGAAGAGGCAGAGGACTAAGAAGGCGGCTAGGCAAGGGGCCCATTCCTTGCGGAGTTTAGGCTTGAGGGATTTGGAGAATGATTCGAACAGGAGCTGCATTTCTCTGGTCAGGATATCATCGATGAGGGCTTTGAGCTGGCGGTTCAGCAACCGGGGTGTGACCCACGGATTGGACGGGTCGAGGGGGGGAAGGAGGGGGGATAAAGAAGTGATGGAGTTGGGTGTGAGGCAGAGGTGCCGGGTCAGGACAAAATGCATGGCGTAGATCGCCAGCGCTCGCTTGACGATGGCGGAGTCGGTTTTGTGGGCGTAGGTGTGGATGATGGAGAGGATTTTCCGGGGTATGTCGGTGTGTCGAAGGTTGGAGGTGACCAGGGAGGCGTATTCTGGCTCGGAGACGATGGAGGCGATGTACTCTTTGATCTTGCGTTTGAGTTCTTCTCTCTGGGCGCCGGTGGTGGCTTTGATGTCGAGGCCGATGGGGGCCGAGCCGCGGGCTTGGAGGTCGACGGTGTTGTGGCCTGTTTGGAGGTGGTAGTGCCGGAGGACGTCCGCTGATAGAGATCGCGGAGTAAAAAACTTGGCTTTGATCTGGAGGCGGGCGGAGAGGCCGAGACCGGAGAAGAGCTCGACTGTGCAGGGGCGTTCGACGCCGTCGAGGGTGAAGGAGGAGACGTTTGTTTCGATGAATTGGGTAATTTCTTCTTTGCGGAAGTGGCGGCGGATGAAATCTGGAAACAGAACAGGCATGAAGTCGGGGAACTGCCAGCAGACAGCTTGGGGGACCTGATGGGTGAGCTTGACGCAGTTGCGGCATGGTCGTTCCATATCGCATTTGACCTTTCGGGCATGACAACAGAAACAAGCGCCCTTTCGTCGGACTTGAAGGGCAGATTGTTTGGTGTCCGTCGCCAACGGTCCCTTCCTCCCACGCTGTGAAGGTCTCAACGCCTCGAAACACTCGAAGGGATTGCTCTGCTGGTTTGGATTTGTCGACTGACTTTGAGCATGCGCATTAATTGTCGACGGCGTCACAATCAAAAACTTCGCCTGTCCTGAAGTGCTCCCCGAACTCGAAGGCGTCGGGCTTGGTGATTTACTCTTCCCCTTTGCAGTCTGCAGCTGCCCCTGAGAAGCAGCCAGCCGCGCACTCAACGTCGAGGAACTCATCGAATCCGTCGGGCTGGCCTTCCGCTTCGTTACTCGATAACTATTCCCTGCACTCCCCGATGGCCCTTTGTTACTCTTCCTCACTGGTATCGGCGCCGTCTTTGGCTGCTGCTGCTCTGGCACCACAACCCCCTGCTCCCACCGGATCACCATCCCGGGGCTCTTCGGCGGTGTGCTCGCCGGCGGGCTCAAACTAGGCGTATACTCGATATAACTCGGCGGGCTAGGTGAAACCGTCTCAAAGTCAAAACTCGGATCTTCAATCACGAAAATCCCTGGGCTGGAGTTTGCGCTGGTGACCAGGTTGTTGTTGTTGTTAGGTGGCCCGGTAGTAATCGTCGGCCTGTTGATCAACTCTGGTGTTGTCGTTATCACCGTCTGCGTAGTATGTCCGGCTCTCAAGTTAAACGGCTCCCAAGGTCCCGACTGTGCCGAGGTGTCAAAGTTGATCTCTCCCAGCCCTTCCATCCCAAGAAAGCTCTGTTGTTGGTGTTGGTGTTGCTGCTGCTGCGGTTGCTGCGGCATCTGCTCCAACCCAGGAATAACTCCCGAAAAGGCGCTGTTATACAACCCAAAATCTGCCATCACATCAACATCCCTCCTCTCCCATCTCATCCCATCAGCGTTACTCACCTGTATCAAACATAAAACCCCCTCCCATATTCCCCACCGTCCCCATCCCCCCCATTTGTCCCAACCCATCCCCGACCTGCGCGCCCAAAAACTCGCCCCCCAAGTCAACATAACTCCCCGAGTAACTACTCCCCTGCCCCTGACTGAGCTGTTCATGGCTGTTGATCGGGCTCACCGGACCACCAATACTCGTCTGCCCCAGCATAGCCCACGAACTGCCCAAACTGTTGCTCAGACTTGCCGGGCTGGTCATGAAGCTCCCCCCTCCAGCGCCGGCGCCCACTGGCGATGGTGATGTGCCATCGCCGATGGTGGTGTGGACGGCGGCCCAGAAGGCTTGTTCGTCTTCGGGATCGAGGTTGTAGTCGGACGAGAGGGGGGAGGTTCCCGGGGCGGAGGCAACCGAGGCCATGGCTGCTGTATAGAATGTACCGTTATCTTTTTAAAGCCTTCTTCTTGTTGGTGCCAGATATACGTGATGGGTTTTTGCGCGCGCGCTTGGATAGACGTTCAAGATATGTACCGGGGCGGTATCTCGTCGTCGCACTTCGTACAGGCACCTCAGTCGCAGTCGCAAAAAGTGTTCGTCCGCTCAATATCTCACACAATAAAATCACATACACCCAACAAAACAGTTCAACAAGACCGCGAATACGGCGTCCAAGTTCGAAAAATGATAAACTGTATATTCTCTCCAAAACGTGGGGGAAGAAGGAAAGGTAGGTCATATCCCATCCCACGAAATCGCATGAACCACCCCTCAGCCTCCCCGCTATCCCCAAATCAGCGACCGAACCGTTGCACCTCTCCCGCCCACCGCCAAGCCCCAGGACTTGACCCCCCCCCCCAAAGCGCGCTAAACCCAATTCGATTACCGATGGGCCTCGGTGTGGCACAACAGGCGACCGACCGTCATACCGAGCGTCTTTATTTCAGACAAAACATTTCTCTTTTCGCATCATATGCCCACCTGTCGTGTACACACTTTATCAATCATGACGAAAAACACTCAAGGTTCATATTGATTGATACCTTGACTCTTTTGCCTTGCCTTGCCTTGCCCCGAGCCAAACCGTCGGTAACCACTTCAAGTAACGGTAGGTAACCTTTCACAAAGTCACCATCATCACCCACTGCATAACATCAACAAGAGACAGAGAGTATCAAGACAAAAACGTATCAGATTTTGAAACAAAGCGTAAGTTGGCAACGCGGCTCCATAAAACGCTTTCTTTCATCAAAGCCTCCATACAACAAGTAGATATATAATATATATATGGCATGCAAACGCAGAAACGACTGTAACCTCCCATCCCACAATGGTGATGATGTACGCGCAAAAAAAGCAGATAGCCTCCCTCCTTTCTCCAAAGCAAAAAAAAAACAGATAGCCACTCCCTTGTCTTCAACATGAATAGCAAAACAAAACAAAAAAAGCAGATAACCTCCCTTTCTGTCTTCGAGTGTCAAAGCAAGAGCAAAAAGTCAGATAGCCTCTCTCAGCAGTTAGAAAGTAAAAAAGAAGCAGCAAATCAGAATAACCTCCCTCCAGTCTTCAAGATGCGCAGCGCAGAAGAAAAAAAAGCAGATAGCCATCCCAACCTCTGTCCAACCCACCCCACCAGCACACCCCCTTACAAAAGACTCCTCGCCAACACACACACAATACAACAAAAACAGACAAAACAATGCTCTCAAAAGCCAGATAGACTCCCGCCCAGAAAAACATCATACATCATGCCAGCCCCTTAACATCCCTCGTCCTCACATACATACAACAACAAAAACAACAACCCCAAGTATCAATAGCCCTAGTAGACAAAAAACAACGACAACAACAATACAATAACAACCTTAGAAAAAAAGAAGGAGAAGAAAAAGACATTTCAATCAGATAGCCACCCCAACCCAAACCATAAAAAATTAAAAAGCAACCATACAACCATCATCCACTCAACCCACGATATAAAAAACGCAAAAAAGTCCAACCACACCACTTCTCTGTTTTTCGTCAAATACCAAACAACATACCCCCGCCATAATCTCTTTACATCTTCATCATGTTCTTCATCAACAACAGCATCGCCAATTCACCACACACACAAAAGGAAAAGGAAGAAAAAAAAAAGAGTCCATGGAATACCAGAAATAAGTTGAGCAACGTCCCATAAAGATTGCGATGAAAATGAAAAACAAGTTCCCTCGAATAACATGGAATAAAGATCCTAGGTAAATATATTCCCTCCGCCGCCGTCGCCGCCCGCCCGAGCCTCTCCCCTTTCTGTGCGTCTTGTTTGTGTCCAGTCCAGTCCCGATACAGTCCAGTCGAATTCAGTTTTCAGTTTCCAGCAGGCAGACCCCTTCTGGGTGAGCAGCCCGCAATTTCTTTTCGCCTGTCTGTCTGTCATCCAAAAAGCCCTCCTGGGCAGGGAGCAAGTATCCAAAAATATTTTTGTCGTTGTTTTTCGGCTTTTTTTTTGTGTCGTTTTCTTTTTGGTGGTCAAAGATCCAGGTCCATGGTTTCCTTTGGCAATTCTTTTGGTAAAAAAATCCTTTCTCCAAATCCCAGGAAAAAATGGAAGAAAAAAAAAAGGAATGAAGTAGTTCCTGGCGGAACCAAATCCAAAAATAAAGGGCCATATGCCTCAACGGAACCTCCCCGCGGCCGCGGCAGCAGCTCGCTCCTGAATCTGCTGTTCCGTTGATACATATAGCCTGTCCAAATAGTCCATGGCCTGGGCATCCTTGAGGATCTTGGCCACCTGGATGCCCGCCGAGATGAGCTGCAAAATATTCCGGTCGTCTTTCAGCGGTCGAGACTGGTGCTTTGCCGCATGTCGCATCTCCAACGAGTTCTCCAAAATCGTCACAAACTGCTTGATCTGGCCGTTGTATAGCACCCGGGCGGGGATCCGCCTTTTCGTTGCCAGCCTTTTCAGCAGGTACACCCACTCGGTCCATTCACGGTCCTGCGGGCGCTCGACGGGTCGCATGTCCTGTGTAAGTGGGATCGGAAACTGGTACTTGGCAACAAAGTCATAAGCGCACTGCGAGAGCCGGTCGTTGACCTGAGTCAGGACACTATCCTGCTCTTGGACAAGGAGATGGGTCGGGAGAGTTGGGAGGTCTCGTTCGGACATCGCAATGTACTCTGGCGGAGGTCTCTTCAGAAACTGGTGCGGCCCATCAAACTCATCCCGGTTCGACGGACGTCGCTGCGATCGTGGCTTTCCGTTCATCTTGTTCTTGTTCCCTGGCTGGGACATTCCGATGGCCGAGTTCTCCAGGGAGTAGTCGGACATGTTGGGAGACGTCATGAGATCATCCATGGAGCCCGATGGCGAGTACCTCCCTTGATATGGCCCCTGTGGTGGGGGCTGATGCTGAGGAGGGGCGCCCTGATACTGCCTCTGGTGATCCCAAGGCTGGGAGTTCATACCGTTCATGCCGTTCATGCCGTTCATGCCGTTCATGCCGTTCATACCATTCATGCCCTTGTATGAGACCTGAGATGGTGGCGCCGGGCTCGAGTACTGGCTTGGCGGTTGGGTCATACGCGGATTGAAGGCTGTCGCTGGCGCAAAGGGCGACTCAGCCGCGGCTCGCCCTACCTGGCTGACATTCCCGAGCGAAAGGTTGGCTGGGAGGTGGTATGAAGAAGAGTTTCCATGTGTGTAAGTCACGCTGGAAAGAGGTTGCCGGTTACTCTCGCTGTCCTGAAGCTGAAGGAGGTGGGTGCTGAGTGGCTGAACATCTTACCTCTGTGGGAGGTACGGGTTGCTCCCCGTCTCAAACCTGCCATTGTGATATTGATCACTGTATATCGGGCTTTGGGGTCGCCTGTCAGCTGTTCGTGTCCTTTCATTCCCTCCCGCAAAACGGGGTTCTTCGAGATCTTGTTCCCACCTGCGCGATTGTAGCCATCGGTCATTGGATACCGCGGCCGAGGAACGGTACGCAAAGTCCGGCTGGGCCATGGTGGTTCCTCTTTTTTTTTTCAAGTTGTCCTGCTCCCGGCTGGGATCTCCAAAAAGCGGCTTCCCGGGTCGTCTGTTTTTTCGCTCACCCGCAAGTGGCAGTGTTGCTTTCTTTGCTGAAAACAATTCAAGAAAAACGCACAAAATACAAAACAGAAAATCGAAACGGTTCCACGGAGCGATAGGGCGCGGCCAGAGGGTAAACAGCAATCAGTCCAGAAGGGCAACGGAGAAAAAAAACCTGCGGCCGGGATTTCCTTGGATGGCCGAGTACCAAAAGTCTTCATAAAAAAATCAGGGTCTCCACGCGGGCGGCGAGAACCTCACTGGGATGTGTCTTTGACCGAATGGCAATCGGGCTGTGGTCCGGCAGAGCGGTTGACCATGGACTAGCAGCGGAGTCTAGCTTGGGCGCTGCTGGGGAATATCGCTCCGGCTCCTCTTTTTCAACGTCGCCGGTGCGGTTTTGCTGAGACTTGTGTCCTCGCGGGACTGGCGGATGAGAGGCCCAAACGACAAGACGAAGCCGATTCAGATCCACGATGGAGACATATATCCCCCCTCGCTGGCCGCGCTGGTGTCAAGGAGGAGGGGGCCGGGTGGCGAGAGCAGCACTTCCACGACCGAGACTGACAACAAAGTGGCCGACACAGCAGGACAGGTGGAATGGAAAATGACAATCTTGACACGCAGCTCAGTTCAACTCAGTTCCGCGTCGCTCGGTGCGCCCAACATGGACCGGGAAGCCGGATGGGAAGGGTGGGAGCAAGCCGGTGCTCACTGCCCGCAACACCACTCACTCGCATACAAGGCCGACTTCGTGACTTTGGTTGCTTGGCGCTCCCCGGATGATGGAATTTCGAGAATATGGAGGTGAGCGAGTCGGGCAACGACCAAGCGGGTGCAAGTGACGATTTCTCTGGCCAGACATGAGTTGATGGGAAGATCCATGCGGTCGCCATCCAATGGTGTCTACGCCCACACAACGCCCATGGCCGTGATCCAAGCCATTCGCACTCTGCCATGCTGCACTTTGCTGGCGCCGGTGCTCGACAAGCACAATGCGATGAACGGGGAAGCGGTAGGGCATCGTTGGGCACCAGATGGAAATCTTCGAAGCGGGTTACAACTCTGCGGTGTCGCCCAATGCCCAGACCCTCGGCAGTCGTGATTGGTGCCAGGAAGCTCCCTGTTCTCCGAGGCGGCACATCTGATTAGGGAACCGATCGAAGCGACTGACGTTGGGCACGAACACGTCTCGCTGCACCAGCCCAACCATGCTGCCGCCCTATCATGCTATCTCGTCGTCTGGTCTGCCGTGATGCCACGCAGCAGTGCTTCTTGACCGCTCCCGACTGCGTCCGGTCCGTCGACGACGCCGTCCGGTCTGACCCTTGGAGTGTTGACACGGCATCAGTTAGCCCCCATTTCCCCCCACAACCCCTTCCCACGCTTCCCATCCTCCCCCACGGCCTACTTTTTTCTTAAGAGGAGGTCCATGGCCGAGGCCACCCGCGTCATTGTTCCTGTCCTGGATGCAAATTTGGCATGAGGCATCGCGCCTTGCCCAAGACGGACAACTGACACAGTACTTTTTCTGCCGAGATGGGGACATCACCTTCAATCAAGGTATCATTTTTCTTCCACCCCACGTGCTTTGCACCCACACTGTAGCCCGACAACACCCACCGATGGGCGATGATAAGACTTCAGCCCCGAACGGCCCGGAGTTCGGGGGCTGAAGCTCGCCGGCACCACTTACAAGATCAGGCCGGACCCTCTCACTCACTTCTAACCTTACCCAGAGATTCCCTGTTTTGGACTTCCTGAGCCTCTGGACCCCAACCCCGGATGGAGACCTCTTGGAGCCCATGGATATGGATTGGTGTGGTTTCCACCACCTGCGCATTGCTGTCATCATGATGCGCGCTCCTCGTGAGAGGAGTTGCTGTTTCTCCTGGCGAGAGATGAGAAAAAGTCTGTTTGACGAGGTAAGGTAAATTATCGCCGATGCTCTCCAGAGACTTGCCTGTGATGGACTTTGTTTCCGCGGAAGGAGGCACCCCTTTTCCCCCTTAAACTTTCTCTAGGTCCCAATTAGCAACACTCTGGCTGCCCTCCATCCGCATGTGGAAGGAGACCTGCACATTGCAATCCGATTTCTTGTGCGCAGGATGCCGTTCACCTGGTTGAAGACATCAACTGTCACATTTTAGCCTTCATCCGCCGTATCTGCCGTCCCCCTCTCTTTCAGAAAGCCTCGGAATCGACAAACCCAACCCCAACCCCAACCCGAACAGTTCGCCATCACACGACAACAACAGCCTCGGGAGGATGTAGCGGAATCCCATGTTTCACGGGGCTTGCTTGGTGCGTGATGTGTCGCCCAAGCTTTGCAGCCTCGCCTTACTTTTGGTCCTTGAATACCACCAGTCAGATGTGAGGAATGAGGCTCTCGCCGAGTCCGGGCAGCTCTTCGTCATGTGGCACAAATCTCCGAGTTGAGATCACACCTGGGTCATGCAAGAGCATTTCCAAGAGCCATGAGCAGGCGTGTGTGCTGATGAAGCACGCTGAAGATACAAGATAGGGCTAGGGCCAGCAGATGCCTGGCGCTTTAGTGAGTAGTAACCCCCATCAATGGTCACCCGAAAGCGGTATCTAACAACGGGCCAGGCTTTGTAGAAAGATTGAAGCCAATACACTGCCTGGACAAGCCTTGTCGGCCAGCCTGATTGCAAGAGTCCTATCCGGGGTTGGTTGTGGAGGTTGATGATGTCCCAGGATTTACACATGCTGAGGGATGGGGTCCGAGCCACGCCTACTTACCTGGTTTCCGGGGCTGCCACACCTGTTGTTGACCTTGGGTGAAGGATCCTACACTGCAGCTCAGAAGAAGAAGAAGCCGACCAACAACGTGCCAACTTGCAGCCCTCGACAACGTCTGTTCTTATGAAGAATGGCAGAAAGGGGAGCCGGGCGACATCTCCAGGAGTGGACACTTGAAGAGGGCCCCGTCGTTGACAGGACGAGACACCAGCCATCGACAAACTTGGTCAACAATACTCGAGCCATCGACGCCGATTCGTTCGCCCATCGACAACCGTATGATGAACGCCGCTTGGTCAACGTCTTTGGCCGGCAGACATCCACATCAGACCCTAGCTGCATACTGAGCAATGAGTTGGAGGGGCTGTTGCTGATGTGGCGAGCAAGTGGGCGAGTTTGGTGCTTTTGGCCATTGTGTATCTGACTGATGCCAACCCAGCTGAGTCTCGAGATGTCTTGCACGACATCAAGCCAGGCAATGAGGAGGTCTGGTCTTCAGGACACCTGTCGCAGACACCCAATCAAGGTACGCTCTCCCATCGACAATATCGCGGCTACTGCGGATCGATCAAAAAATCAGTCGATGCATATCTTTGAGGGTCTCATGCACAGTCGACCAGATGTAGCAGTTGCGCATTCTCGCGGCATCTCTTGTCCCGTGTAAGTGAGATCCAGACCCTTCCATCTACCGTTGCAGTGGTAGCAACTGATCTGAGATTGACAACAAGCAGTGCATATCAGGAACGAGCTCTCCAATGATGTCGACAAAAAATGCACTTTTGCTCTTCGATGTGACTGAGTCATGGAGCCTCGGACGAAACATCAATCTCGCAGTCTCGGCATGCGTCGAAAGTGAGGCGGCTGCATGTCCAAAGCACGACCAAGTACGGGGACATCGCGTGTTTGGGCATTGCTGAGTTGGCAGAGAGAGGGGAGTGAAGGGCCGAACCGATTACCCATCACAGAGCCTTCAGAACCGATTGGGAGCACCACCATCATCGCCGCCGACGTCCAAGCAAAACTCGTCCAGCTGCCGTGGTGGCTTTCCCATCATGACCGGTCAACGACAGGATTTCCATTTTTGGATATCCAGGTTCTGAACCAAAACCGGGCGAAACTGAACTGACAGGAGGCGCCTTTGCTCTTGTCCATTCACACGAGAGAGCGAGGCACCAAGCAGGTGAGCTTGGTTGGTATTGGCTATCGTGGCCCACTTGTAGACGACTGGCTGGTGGACAGCAATGGTAAGACAACCCCTCTTCTTCTGTTGAACAGCAGCATGCCGCCGAGAGTGTTTCCTGAGACATGACGACGCCGAGCACTGCGGGGTCGTAGCATGGTTTCCATGAGGTCGGCAATCTGGGGACGGTTTGCTGCGTGAGTGGTCTTTTCGATCTTGGTGACCCTTCAACAAGAGCGCGCGAGCAGCAGCACTGGCGGCAACGGCGTCTGTCCTATCGGTGCTTCTCTCGCTATCTGTGTCATCAGGCTGTCAGTGATTTGATCTGGATTATCCGAATATCCCGCAACAAACAGGTGAGGAGTATGTCAAGGGAGTGTAAGTGAATGTGACAGGTCGAAGCTGAGCTGGCACAGGACCTGTCTGCATCTTCCATAGGTCATAGTTGCATGACGGCGTCGCACACCGCTGACGACTGGTTGGATATCCTGTTTCTGGTCTGCTCGGCGGGGCTCTTGAAGCGATTCCGGCCTATCAGCAGAGGTGGTGATAGCTAGCCTGCAACATGAGCAGGGGACAGGCTGCATCAGACGGAATGCCAACGCATCACTGCAGAGGCACTAGGCCGTCGAGCCGGCCGACTCTGATGAGGTTCTCGTGTGAGATTGGCGAAGAGATTGCAGCGCGGTGCAGCGACGCGCAGGTATACGCAGGGAGTCGCAGCAAAAGTGCAGAAAGGAAGCAGCAGGAAACATTGCGATGGACGGTGCCGAGACGAGAAGCGAACAGCCAGAGCGGGGTCTCATCAGACAAGACGAGCCTGTCTTCGAATGACAGCGTAGATTTAAAAACCCGCGCGCCCCTTCCTTGCCCAACAGTTGTCCTTTCCCCCCAGAGAACTCTTTCCACACCAGAGCCCAACGAGACCCGCCATCGTTCATCGTTACTGCCCAACCTGACGCCATCCTTCCTCACTGGTTCTCTTTTTTATATACCTGAACGCCTCACCGCTCCTCTCTGCCTCCACACAGAAACCACGCCAGTCTCCCCAAGACTCCATCACCACTTCCATCCCCACAGGACACTCTTCCTTCTGCCACTGGATCCTTTCCCAAGACGGACAAGACACGTTGGAAGCCTCCATTGCTGTCGTTGTCTAGAGAGCAGTCACAAGCTCACATCTTGCATTGCCGCATTGCCTGCCGTCTGGAATGTCTGCCACGGTTATGCCCCGGACCACTGATACCATGCCTGGCTACAACACCCACAATCTTGAACTGGACGAGGTTCACACCCCCTCGAGGTATATTACGCTTGTTTTCATTTGTTTCCTGGGAGGCCCATAGTGCTTTTTTTGCTTTTCACATCATGTTGCGATACAAGTCATGTTTTTCCTTTTTCTATTTCTGCCTGTTCTTGAACATCTTGCCTTGGACCAGGTCTTGAGTGAGACGCCCCATGAGCATGGTTCGATCAATCAATCTGGACATACGAGAGACTTTTGCAACCCAGGGACAGCGTTTCACAGACCGATTTCTTCCCAAGGACACAAACGTCCCATGGATCGCCAACTGGATGCCCCGGATTTCATCTGCCATGGACTACTGCCACGGAGCTCTCGTCACAAACCTCTGGATGGATGGTGTCTCAGCCGAGTCACTCAGATCAGTCAGACCTAGCACTCGTGCTGGGTTGACTGCATCGCACTGTTACTTTTTACACAAGCTTTTCGAAGCTCAATCAGTAAGTCTCAGACACAGTTCGCCAACATTTCGACAAGCTGCTTGAGGATCTTGCCATGCGGACTTCGACCCTCTTTTCGGACAGCAACAGGACGACAACATCATGGAGATGGCTTTCTCTTTCTTCTTTCTCTCAGGACCACAGGACTTGAAAAAGAACAGGTTTCGCAGACAGGACTTGCGCACTGGAATTTCCCGGACACTGGATTCATCTTATGGACAACTTTCTTTTGCCAGCGAGGACCTTCAACTTCATGCAATCACAAGTCGCTGACTTGTGCATGGCTTCTCTTCGAACACACCTTGGACACCTTTCTGGACTTGCTTTTTCTTCCCTCTCTGGATCATCGACGAGGATTTTTCCCTGGACTTCCCTGGACCTTCTCTCACCGCACTGCTATCGACACCCGGACATATCTTGCTCAGCTCAGAGTGGAGGAAAACAAGATTGATGAGAAATACTGTCTCTTGATCCTCTTCTTCTGTAGCTTGACTAGATCTCTTCGCCAACAACAGCCAAGGATTTTCTCTGGTTTTCTTTTCGCACCGGTTTCGCTTTGCTTTTTCTTCAACCTGGATTCACTTTGCTCCTCGTGACGCGACCGGATTCTCAACCTGGCTCCAGGCCAGCAGCCTTGATGTGAAACTTCTTTCGACATGGATTCCCGGATAGTGTTGCTCTTTGAGAACGCTCAATTGGTCTGTAGCTACCTCTCTGTGACAAATGTAGATAGCTCTCACTAACATGGCTCGTTTGCAGGATACAAAGTTGTGCCATTTGATTCCTCAGTTTCTTTTTGGTCACATTTCCTTTCTACATTCTCTTTTCTCTCTACAAGACGACAACGAGATGGTGGAATGAACAGCACACTAACCATTTGCTCCAGCGACTATAGCTACAGTGCTCAGCCCAACATGCTTTCCTCATCTGCCTCTGGAATCTTTTCTTTTTGTCAAACAGGACCAGCCGACCTTTCTGGCTCGGCTTGGGACACGACAGTTGAAGGACCACAGAACTTTCCTGAGTTTACGGATGCCACGGATTACTATGCTGGAGAAGCCGAGGACTCTTTCTTGCCATTTGGCCAAATCACCCCAAAACCGGACCAAGATGACTTCCACGCCCGCTGGGCTCCTTCCGACAACAAGGCCCTGAAGGCTGAGCCCATGCGCAGAGGCACCTCGCGCAGCTCCACTGGGAGCCTCAAGAACAGAAACACAAAGCCTTCTGCCACTTCGGTCAAGAAGACCAGGTCAAGAGTACAGTCCATCCTCACACAGACATCATCACAGATGTCCAAGCTTGACATGGCTGGTGCCCCCTACTCGGATGGCCCTGCTGTTGCCGCTGGCCGGATCATGGATGTGCAGCAATACCTTGCTCAGGATCTCGACACTCTTTCCGTCAGCGGTGCTGGCTATTACCCCATGATGGGTTTCCCGGATGGCTTGACCTACAGCAACGACTTGGCCCCCATGGCCCAGCACGTGAACCCCCAGATCTTTGATGCCGGTCTCATCAGCCACTCTCCTCACTCTTGGGGCTCGCTGAGCCCTGTTGACTCCCGCCTGTCTTCCCCTGGTCTCGGCGATGGTGCCGAAGACTTGTGGTCTGCTGTCCCTTCTGCCTCGTCTCCTGGCGAAAGCCAGAGCTCCAACTCGCCTGTTCTGCCTGGCCAGTCACCAAGGTATGTTGCGACTACAAACGCGGTTGAGCTCGGTGCATTGTCTCACACCAGTGATTTCAGGATGAGCCGGAAAATGGATGGCCAGTATGTGACATCTGACGATCTTCACCTTGTTCCCGCCATGGGTGAGGATGCTTTTGCCCTCCCTCCTGCCTTTGGCGCCCGCCGCATGAGCGGCGAAGGTGAGTCTGCTCGGGACCATTATCTCTACAAGAATGCGTACCCCCACGCGGACGGACTTTTCCACTGCCCCTGGGAGGGCCAGCCGAGCTGCAACCACAAGCCCGAGAAGCTCAAGTGCAACTACGAGTAAGCACCATTTGTTTGACTCTTGTGACCCATTCCATCAGCTAACCACTCTCCCACCAACAGCAAGTTTGTTGACTCCCACCTCAAGCCCTACCGCTGCAAGGTTGAGGGTTGCCAGAACGCCCGCTTTTCTTCCACTGCTTGCCTCCTCCGACATGAGCGTGAGGCCCACGCGATGCATGGCCATGGTGAGAAGCCCTACCTGTGCACCTATGAGGGCTGCGAGCGCTCCGTTGCCGGCCACGGATTCCCCAGACAATGGAACCTCAGGGACCACATGAGGCGCGTCCACAATGACAACGGCACCACCGCTCAGGCTGCTTCCCCTCCCGCCTCTGGCGCCACCACCTCTACCCGTGGCCGCAAGAGAAAGAGCGATGTTCAGGAGAAGCCCGCCCAGGAGAAGACCAGCTCCCGCAAGTCCAAGTCTGAGGCTTCCAAGCCCGTCGAGCCCCCCGTCAACCTCGAGATCACCCAATGGTGGGAGCACCAGAGAGCTCTCCAGGACCTCGTTTCCGCTGGCTACCAGCCCGACGACATCCAGACCTTCCATTACATCAAGGAGGCTCAGGATCACTTGACCGCCATGGACAGGATCACCCACAACCTCACCGCTAAGCCCGAAGTCCGCCGCGGTTGGAGGAATTGAGCGATTGTGAGTTCTCACTGCGAGATCTTCGAGCCAGCCATGTGACTCTCCCCACGCCGTGCTGAGTGCGCCGGTTTGATGTGGAAACAAGGTCAGACACATCGCCCTGGACTTCAACCCCCACGAATCAGGATCTCCGAGCATGCCTGCCAATCGGTGTACCTCTTTCACCCCCTATGCTTTCTTTCCTTTTTCCTTGTTTGGGTACGGGCGGACTTGGTTGAATTTGACAAAAAATGGAAAAGACCAAAAATATGGGACAGTCTCTTTTGAGGCAATTGGGAGGACAGACCTTTTATGGATTATGACTTATGATTTACGAAGATATGACGGGGGCTTTGGATACCGGATTGGGAAACCTCAGATAGAACATTTTTCGTGTTGGCTACATGGGCCACACAGACTCAGACACCACGACGGACAGCATTTCTTTTGTCATATTTTTCTTTTGTTTATGAGATACGGGAGATACGGGATATGAACACGCGGGTTTTTTTTCTTTTTGGTTATGGAGTTTAAAAGAAAGGATTTGGGATTGTTTTTCTGGAATACATAGCGCAAAGCGAGAACTTGTTTATCAAGGATTTTTTGGATTACCGGTTATGGGTGTTGTTTGACATGAAAAAAAAACTGGGAGATTTGATGAAAAGGATATGATGATGACCTGGCGTTTTGTTTTTTGAAGGGATTTGTAGAAAAGTTATTGTAGACTTGGGATAGATTTGTGTGCTTGTTTATTTGTAGTTTAGTTTTGCCTTTGTTGTATATATTTTGGCAATGTTGGATACCCCTGTTGTATATTGTATATTGTTTAGCAGCACATAGCGTTGGATGGCATGGGATGGCATGGGATGGAATAGGAAAAGGCAAAAGCTCATGGCTGTTTGTGTCTGTCTGTTTGTCTTGACTACATTGTGTGTGTGTGTGTGTGTGTGTGTTTGTGTTGCCTATCAATGAATTGTTGCTTTCCTGTTTCTTTTCCGGTCGTGTGTTTGTCTATCTACCTCCCTCCTGCTCATTTTCCTCCTCGGTCCGTCAATCTCAACTTTTGCATCTCTCATCCTCGCTGGGATGGGTTTGAGTTTACGCGATCTCAAAGAGGCAAGTCAGCCTCCCCGGGGATCAAAGTCCCGTTCTCGACGGCGGCACGGTGGCCGCGGGCGAGCATCCCGTAGACGGGCATGTACGTGTCCAGCCAGGGGAGGATCTCCTTTGCGCCGGGGGAGGAGCGCCAGTCCCTCATCAGGTCGCAGACGATGCTAAAAAGGGAGACGACGTTGACGCCGGCGCGCATCATCTGATCATTGGCGAGGTCGCGGATCTCTTTTGTGACGGTGCCCGAGGCTTCCTGGTTGGCCCAGACGGAGTACCCCTCTGCGCGGAGAGAGCGAGCCAAGAAGGCGGTACAGACGTCTGTGACGATGCCGGCGAGGATAATCTGCTTCTTGCCTGTGGCCTTGACCGCGGCGCGGAACTCGGGGGAGTCCCAGGCGTTTACTTCTCCTTGGCGGGCGATGACGGGGGCGGTGGGGTACATGTCGAGGATTTCTTGGGGGAGGGGGCCGTTGGGGCCGGTGGAGGCCG